AATATCCAAAGAGCCACAAGTGAACCAGCAGTCTCAGCGCAAAGTGCTCTCGTGAGCACTTGTAGCATGATTATTCAAGATCTTGTATGTGAGAAGGATTTTAAATTGGATTCATTCTGGATTTAACAGGGAGCCATTGAAGAGAGGCCAATATCGAAAAAATATGGTTTCTCTTTTTTATGTCAGGTTTCTCCTGACAGTGCTCTGGCTTACTCCCCTTTCTATGTGTCCCAGTGGCACATCATATTACACTGTAAAAAAAGAAATCTGTAGAAAAACTTCACGACTATTCTGTAAATGGTAAAATGGAAAATTCTGTTTATATTACCATTTACAGACACTTCTTTTCACTGTAACTCATTTAAAATACTTCTTTATATCCTTAACCACACATTTCTATATAATTAAAACATGATTTACTTGAAAATTCTTGAATTTAAAATTAAATTAATCTGAGATAACAGTGCTGCTACATTACAGTTAAATATCCTTTTACTCTCATCACCTCAAAAACTATACTTAAATATAATGACACAATCCATCTCATCATAAAATGATCAAACAGCCAATATATGAACAAAGTAACTTGCAATCTTTAAAATCTTAGCATTTTTATCTTCCTTGAAATCAGTTTCAAATATGTTCATAAACATGCATTCAAGTGGCTCCAAAGTGTTTTCTTCAAACAGGATACCTGGCAAAGACTGACAGAAAATGTAACAATAATTAACAATATTTGCATATTTAACAATATCCTGAGTACATTTAAGCTATGATCACTGCCTTGTTGTTGTTTTGTCTCAGCCAAACAGTTAAGTTGTGGTTTGCATCCTTGTTTGTCCAACCATGACAGAGTATACATATATAGTCAACTCACCTTTGATTACCAAATTGCATTTACTTCATCAGTGAATCCAAGTGAACATTTGAGCTAGATTAACACTGTAGGGTCTTTATCCTACCATATAAAGTGACTTCAACAAGATTTATTTACTGTTAAGTAATGTTATATGAATAAGATCTAAAGAAGGTATCCCTGAAATTTGGGTTTATTGGAGCAAAACAGATGGATGACCACAGCCCTCAGCACAAGGCTGGCAAGACTTTCTCCCATATAATAAATAAATAAAACACAGAATAAAACATTCAAATAAAAATAGATCAAGACAGATTACTATACCAAACTTAAAGATTTACTGGATCTGTTCTGTCTTCTCTTGCTTTTAAAGAAAATGAGGAGCAAAGTATAATTAGAAGTGATGACAACTTTAAACTGTAAACAGCAGCTAAGTGAAGAGGAGAAGAAAAGTTTGACATATTCCACGACCGTTAAATATTAGAGAAGCCTTTGAAAAAGAGGCCACAGTTACTTTTCAAGCAAAAACTTCTGCTTGTGCTCACAGACTCTACATTTCAAAATTTTCAACAAATAAGACGATAATAAGGCAAAACTAAGTGACACAAGAGGCTAGGGCAGAGCTTCCCAAAGTGTGGGGCCCGCCTGGGGGGGGGGGGGGGGGGGGGGGGGGCGCAGAGCCATTTGTGTGTGCGTGCGTGTGTGTGTGTGCGCGAACATTTTTCTTGTAAAACAAAGGGGGGCCTAGCAAAAAAGGTTTGGGAACCACTGGGCTAGGGGAAGAGCAAGCATGAAGAGACATGCTGTGTGTGCACACACGTGTTCTCAGTGCCTCTCTCCATGTACCAGCATGACAAAGTCCACAATGCAGTCAGAATGTTCAGGCCATCAAGTTCCATCTGAGCTTTAAAGAAAACAAATTCAGCTTTTCCTTGAATTTAGAGTTGTTCAGTTCCTACAGGAACTTCAACAGTAGGGGTTAACGTGTTGCTGTTTTGTAAAGAACTTATTAGAGTCCCAGAATGATTTCTTCCTGTCTATACCTTGAAGCATGAACCATGAAGTTTTCACTTTTCCCAGTTATCTATATCGCTGACTTTAGCTCATTAGCTAGCTAACAGTCACAGCTGTGTAAAACCCAGAGAGAAGGAGACAATGTTACTATAATATTTATGAATACTGGTCTTTATCCAGCGCTGGATAAAAGTTGCATGTTTGTATACATTATTATTCAGACATTATAAATACACTGTTTAATTCAGACTAGTTCAGCACATGCAACCACAAAGGGAAGGGTGACAGTTATTCAGGTGATGATCGTGATCATCATCCTCCACAAGGCCTGTAACCCACACAAGGTCACTGATAAAAAGGCTGGCTGTTGGCAGAATGCTGAATCAAAGCATTTCAATAGAAAGGAAAAATCTGATAGGAAAAGGTGCAGAAAGAATAGGGCTGACGGCAGCATTCTTTTGAAAAATTGTTTGAAGAACTTGGGAGAGCATTATTAAAAACATTACCTTTTTTTAAGTCATATTCTACTGTTCTCATAATTAAAACAAAAAACAAAAAAGTCTCGCTCCTTTTTTTCAATGCCTGGAGGTAATCTTTTTATACTAATGTCACCATGAACTTCTTTATGATAACCCACCTGACTCTGGACGTCCTGGAATTGTTGCAGGAGGTTAAATAATACATGATCTATGAGGAATGAGTCAGTTAATAATTTTCTGCCACTATAAACGCTCAGTGTTAGATTACAGGAGAACACATGAGTTTATTTGAAAGACAAGCATAATAAAAAAAAAAAGCCATATAGTAAGTTTTGTTGTAACTGCTTGTTACAACAAAGCTATGCAGAGGATGCCCAGCAGAAGACCATACGAGCCACTGCAGTCAGCTAAGAATGCAAACTGAGGCTACATTTCACACAAGCTCACCAAAATGTACGTTTGGGGAAAAGAACATAGGAAAATGTTGCCTTATGTGATGATTTTACATTTATGCTGCGACAATGATCGGGTGGTGGTTGATCAGAAGTGGTTCAGACTGGTGCTGGTGGTGTGATGATGTGGAGGATATTTTCCTTGCACTTTGGGCTCCTTTCTATAAACTAGTTATTGGTTAATGCTACAGCCTACTGGAGTTTTGTTGCTAACCGTGTCCATCCCTTCATGACCAAACCGCACCCATCTTCCGCTGTCTGCTTCCAGTAGGATGAAGCATCATGTCATAAACCTCAGATCATCTCACACTGGTTTCTTGAACTTGACTGTAGCTTAAAAAGACTCCACAGTCAAGAGAACTCAGTCCATGTATATTCTACTGAAGTACTTCAGAACAACTTCAAGGTAATTTCATTTTACTTGAGTATATTTGCATATTGTTTAAAGTATTTAATCTCTCATTTCTGCTTTAAAATCTAAGGAATATGATCAACTTCAGCACTTTTACTCCAATGTTTGATTCACCCCACTGTTCATTAAAAGAGTCTAGGTTGAAAACATTTGCAGGTGGGTAAATAAATTGCCAACATCTAGGGCTTGACCTTTTTTTACGAGCTTTTATATGTCAGAAGCCCTAACTTATATTCAGGTGTCAACACCACATTTACCACAGAGGAGCTAAATAAAAACCAATCTGCTTTTAAAACTAACAGTTGTCATTGGTTAAAGTACCAAATCTGCATGATGGGTTGCATTTGGGTCAGAAGTAAATAGTGACTCCCATCCTCCCCCCCTCACACCACTGACAAAGATGGGACACCAGTCGGTTCAGGTATTAAACACAGAACACATTGTCAGATTAATTGTGTGATTGTGCTGTAAATATTAAATGTACCGGACTTACATTTTAATCCCTCTGTCCTCTAGTATTGCTTTGCTTTGAACGGGTTTCCATTCAATTTAGAAATGAGTGATTTGTATTTCATGTTTTAGGCTGCTGCCCTAAGAAGACAATATTGTAATTACAATAAGCTTCTTATACGCTGATACAATTATTGAGGTGAGGAGTTTATTCTGTTGCGTGAAAGTGGGACCTTATGCTCTTTCAATTTAGAAAACAACACAAGTTTGATGAGGATAAAGAAATTTGATCCCAGAGCATATGCCACGTCTTTGGGGAATTATTTTATGCCAACAGAGAACAGCTGGCGATACATTTATCACCTTGCTACTGTCTGGGATTATGTGGTCAACATAGCAGTAGTGTAAGAAGTACACAAATCCTTCACGTGCATAAAGTACTACAAATGCAAAATGCACAGTTTCAAGTAAAAGTCCTGCACTGGAGATAGTATGAGTATGGCCCTTTTGACTTATATCTTCATGCTTTTCATTATTAGATAGCAAATGAAGTATATTACTTCTTTTATTGTGAGATTATTAATGACGAAACAAAGAAAAAATAAATTCTGCAGCACAAACAATCTCTTTAAAACGTCTCTTATCCCAGCATTCTTGAACATATCATGGATTTCCAACTTTTTGGACCTTGTGAGCTAGTTAAATGAAACATCCCGGATAGTTTCTACTACTAAACACTCACAAACAACTGAAAAGCATTAAGGGTCCTGAAGCAGACACTTATTGTGAAAGGTCACAATCTATTTTTGAGGATGTGTTATAAGATTGTTACCTTACACTACACATATGAGACTTTAAATCAACATATTGTTGATTCAGTGTACAGATTTGACTGTTTTTTTTAAAGCATCGCGATAATTCTTTCTTTCTCTCCAATCTGCACGTCATGGAAATAATCGTTGCAGTCCTCACAGGCAGTCCTGCATGTCGTGCAGATGCAGCAGGGAGTCACTGCTTATACATATCTGCATCAGTAACGGCACTCTAAAGTTACCATAACAGTGGAAAGGGACTATTTTTGCATTAAATACTTTAACTTTTAAAACGTCTATCCGCCTAATTACAGTCCCATACACTGGCTTTTCAGCACAGTAATTGTACTAGTCATGAAGTATCCCAGTATTAGTTATTTCACTCCAACAGTGGGAGCTGAATGTTTCCTTTTCACCGCTGGCACAGAAAACGCGGAGGACGAAAATGAAGACGTGTGTCTTTAAAGGGTTAACGGGGGAGGAGGCGCAGCAGCGGTCAGCTCGCCTGGGTGGAGTGAACTTTAGATATGTAGTACAACAAATTAGCCAGGAGGAGAGCGGTGTGGCAGAGTGAAAACCCCCTAAAAGACTAGATTACGCGCTTAAGAAAAAACCCATCCTGGCCGGTAAGAGACGCTCCAAACACTGAGCTGAGATGAGTGATGTGAGCGAAGAGTCGCTGCTGGATTATTTCTACTCGGCCGGGGGCGACTCAGGCAGAGTCAAAAATGCAGATATACTGAGGACATTTAAGCCTTTTATTGGGCACAGTGACTTGCAGTTACGTGGTAAGTAACCAGAGGTTGTATCGTGGATTTAACTCCGTGGAAATATTAGGCGGAAAAAAAACCGGGCAGATGAAATGAGATGAGGTCGTGCTGCATCATTAGAGCGGGATGGCAAAATACCAACTGACCTCGTGTTAGTATGACAGTCCTCATAGTAAGACTAACATTTATCTTTTGGTTTGTTTGTGTTTTAAACACGCAACATCCCCTTTGTCTGCTTTAACAAACGGCTTTGGGGTCGTTTTCATTGTTTTCAGTTGGAAAGGAGACATCTGGTTTACATTAAAAAGCCCCTCCAATGAGTTTCAGCAGGAATTGTGTCATTTCCTCCCTCGGGCACGTTTCTAACTCAAACAGAGGACCCGAGCCACCCCATCAACAAAACATGTCACTATGCAGTGTCACAAGAAGGCCCCGTGGCGGCTCCTCAGAAATGAAAACGACCAGTGGTTATAACTAATTATTACTTGGCTTTTATGCACCATTTGAGCCCAGGATCAGTGTATTTGCCATAGAGACTTTTTCTCCTGTTCTTCTCCACCCACCCACCTACTACAGATGCTTATGCAATCATGTCCTGAGTCACTGCTGACACCACGATTCTTCTGTTATTGGGTTTCTGCAGAAAAAAAAAGTGTTTGGGAGTAAAGTTGTGTAACTCTATGTACTCATAGATATGCTTAGCTAAAACAACATTCTAACATTCTGACAAATAACCTCACTTTCATAGAAGATATCGGAACTATAGAGAGAAAGGGTAACATTTTAGCTACAAATTATTTGAAAAAGTTACACCTTTAAGCATTAAAATATACCGTATGCCTTTGGCAGACAGAAGGTTTGCTTTGACTGCCTTATTTGGTCTGGTGATAGCCTATATATAAAGATGGACATAACCAGCATGAAGTCATCCACTGTGTAGTGCAATCGTGTTATGAAGCCTCAAACCCTTTATTATACTTATTTTTTCCATGTCCTTAAGTGCACTTGCTGCCAGATGAGCCACCTCCTACTGACCATTAAAAATCTGTTTCTGCATTGGCTTCCCTTTGTAGACCCTGTATCCATATCCATGTTTTGTAGACTGTGGGTTATGACTATAATCGGTCCATAATTTAATTGGTATATTTATTGACTGGATGAACTAACTATTTTTATCAGCCATGGGTTACCTTCAACCAATGACATCAATGACCCATAGAGAATGAAGACGTAGTTGGAGCAGTTTTGAAAGGGTTGACTACACTCAGCATAGCTACGTAGGTAATTATCAATTGATAATTACCTACGTAAAAACAATTTTATATAGAAGCACATTCATAAGCAGTCACTTTCAAAACCTTACAGGTTTTAAGCTTCGTGTTCGTTGACACGCCCAAAATACCCATAGCTTTGAACTTATTGGCCAGCAGTTCCTTACAATGGCTTGATTAACATGCTGCCATAGACTGTGTGGTAGCACTGGGCAGAGACAGATAATTAACAGTCAACTCTAGCAGAAGGAAAAGAAAATGGAAAGATGGATTTTCATTCTTTTCTTCAGGTTTCTTATTGTTAGAATCATATGGCTGCATTATAGAAGATTTCACTCCCTGTACAGTGGAGTCCTTGGGTCCTGCACAACTCTGTTGCTTGTGAAGCTCGCACACAAGAATTTCACTCACATGTGCTGTACCAATGTACCTGCACATGTGATGTGACAATAAAAGTGATTTGATTTGATTTGGTCATGAAGAGGAAAATTAGCTATAAATAACAATACCACTTTTGTTCAAGACTGTAAACATGTTTATTTCAGCAGTAAATTGTGGCATTTTAACATATGGGTCTCTGGAGAATGGCTTGCTAAAGCGGCCTCTGGAAGATCTCTTGGCAAATGTGATTGGCTTAATTATTTTTAGACTGCACACAAAAGTCACAGACAAAAGAAACAGAACTCTATGTAGGTGTGACTAACTGAAATACATACCAGCAGGTATTTAAAGCAGAAGCAACATCTCATACCGTTTTTGTGTATTGTGCAAACAGATAAAGCAAAGATTTAACAGCTCAGGGAGTTATGAACTAAACAATAACAGGCGTCTGTGTCATAGAGTGGCAGCACCCGAACTAAACGTGCACATCAAACTGGTTTGGTGACATAAACACAGTTAAAGGTGTCACTTGAAACCACTTGAAGTTAGTGGTTATATCAGACCACATGAAGCTGCAGCACGGTGTATCAACTTAATAGCACGTTAAGGTTTATGAATACATTTTCTCTTTTCTCTAACAGGAGGATTATTTGTTTTTATTTTATCTTTTCAAAAGCTGTGCAGCACATCTCTTTTGTGTAGGTGTGCCTGCTAAACTAACAGCTGCGAGTAAGAGCACGTCTCACGAAGGCAAACAATGAGCTTGTAATGCTGTATCTAGTCCCTGTTCAGCAGTGATTTTACTTTTGTGACTGCCTGGAAATGCAAACATATTTTAACCTTCTCAAATGATTATCCAGAGTGACCTTGTATTGCAGTTGCCAGCATGCACTGTCCAGATGCTGCATCAGCACTGCAGTTGTTGACAGAGGTTTAGAGAGCTGCTTTGATGCTCTGCCATCTGACATCGCTGTCCAATTAGAAAAGTGCTTCCCACACATTTAAAGTCTGTCGTGGCATGCGGTTGCAGCTTTTCCTCGTGTAATTGTGGCGATAGTGTTTTAATCATAATTAAGTCCACATGCATGACTGGATGTAGACCTCTAATGGGGGCGTTTTTGTGCGTTTTTTTTTTAATCAGACAACAAATCTGGGGCAGCTGGTAAAAGTGTAGCAGTGTTTGAGGGGAGGGGGGTACATGAAAGTGAGTTTGTGCGTGGGTTGCTTGTTTTTTTGCAGACCTCTGGCTAACAAGTAACTAGCACATACACGATGTTACCCACTGTGCCATGCAAGGAATTCTTTTGTTTAGGCAGATGTAAGTGGCCACTTCCTTTGGATTTCCTGTTGTTGCAAATGCGAACTTTGCAACTGTCTCCCTACAAATGTTCTTTCCGTCCACATGAGGAAAAGGAAACGCTCCAATTGTCCCGAGCCGCATACTCACATAAACACCTTGGCGTGAATGGAATACCTACGTCTGGAAAGGTTTATGTTTGCGAAGCCGTCCTGGCTGCCTGATGATTAGTGTTAGCTTTTAATCACACTTTCTGCACAAGCCTGATATCTGCTCACTGGTGTAAACAAAGGGCAGGAAGCTTTATCTGATCAGCTCGTCACTTTGTTTGGTTCTCACAGGAAAGATTCACTGTAGGTTTTCAAGTGACTCGAGTTTTTAGCCTAAGGGATAAGTTAAATTCTGTTTACATATTTGGCTGGAGGGGAACGTATTTTCTCTTTCTTTAAACTGAAGATTGTAAAACATCTGCTCTGCCAGTAGTGTTCTCATCCAAACCTCATTTGTCTTGTTACTTCAGATAAAGTAACAGAACCCAACAGCTTTACCGGCAGACTCACAAACAACACATCTAGTATAAACACTAGAAATATATTCAGCTCCGTTATTGTGCTGTTTAATAAATATTATCTATTGTGCATCTTTGGGTATCTTAAGGTCTATGTACGCAAAACACATTCTTCTTATTGTCTTACGTCCAGCATCCACATCACTATAACAGTGTTTTGTGTCCTTTTTTCCATCCTTATTTGACTTTTTGAGTATTGGAAGCACTCATGTTTTAAAAAAAACATTAGAAACTATATTTAGTTTCCTGTTTTTGAACTCAAATATTTTTTCTTTTGCAGCCAAATACCGAGAGGAATTCAAGCTAATCATTGACCGAATCGCTGTGGTGAAGTCTGAGAATGTAAGTAAACTACTCAAATATTTTTACCTTTTCTGGGAAAAGTTATTCTCTCATTGATTTTCCAGTCATACGTCTTACACAGAGGCCATGCTGTGAAAGGCTCAGCGGAACCATCGTGACTGAACAAGGGGTTGTCCAATCTGTTCAATCTTTGTGTTTTGTAGAACCGTTTGTACCCACTGGTTTCCCCCAGGGGACACAGCTGCAGTTTGTGTTTCTAGACACTATTTCCATGAAGCGTTCTCATATGTAGACTAAAAATTCCTGCAAGAATAAACAGAGTAAACTCATCTGAGTTATAGATTTGATGTTTCTTTCTTGAAGAAACACTTTGAAATGAACTGCACGCTTATCTGTGTGATAAATGTGAGGATACAGAGGGAGGTCTGGAGACTTAGCTCGCTGATCACTCTTTAAAAAGAAACACCTATCAGCAGCTTTAAAGTTCAGTAAATGACAAAATATCAAACCTGTGTAAATGTGCAAAAGAAGACGTTTAAAAACAAATTTTGGTGCTCTAACAGTTTCTTTTGGCAAATGCAGATACAAAATGCTAATCCCTGTAAACCAGCAATGTGTCGTTTTTACATTTATGTTTATCAGATTTAAACAGACTAGATGTAAAAGGTTATTTAATGGCTTACTGTGGAGTTTCATGCCTTTTGATGGAGCACGGTTGTAATTTTTTGTAAAGAAACTAATTTAGTCCTGGGTTTAACTTTGTACTTAAAGCTGCACTAGATCTAATCTAGATGAGCCCTCCTCCTGCAGCTCCCCCAGTCTGTTCTAAACTACACAAATATTTATAGTACAGTACTGACCGGATCTGTTCTGAAAAAACAAAAAACAACAATCCAAAAAACGGTTTGACCAAAATCTTCACAACAGTTAAACTTTATAAATCCTGAAAATTGGAAGAAGTGCTGGCGTGTTACATCCTCTCAGATCACTTGAATCACAGCATGCTAAGAGACAGGCATGTGTCTCATAACTCCTGGTCCTATACATAACAGCCTCTGTGGGCCCCCTTCTTTTCTTGATCCATATTTCTCACACGTCTTCTGATATATTTTTTTAAACAAAGAATAAGCCAACAACTGTGCACAACAATGTGTAGTGGTCCTAAAGATAGCCAGTAATCAAATGTTTGTTTATTTATTTAAAATTTTTTATAATATGTCTATAAATCTATATCATTCAGTCCTCATTTCTCACTGTAGTATAAAATCACTAATTGTTAAATGAGTTTTGCTTTGAGAGGTCAAAAAGTGACCACCTAGGCCACCGTGATTGTAAATAATGTGCATATATATATTTTTTTTTTTCATATTTTGGATGGACAGAAACATTATGTGCATATTTTGATAATATCTTTAGAATTTAAAGTAATGAAGGAATGAATGAACTGTAAAGCACAAATTGCAGTACCTTGATAAAGTATTAATAATAATAGTAGGTTGAAATGCAAAGTTAGGTTTATGATTTCCTGTTTGTGCTCCTTTTATGTTAATTAAGTACCCAGCAAATATTTTTTAATTAATTCAGAAGCATTGTCATCGTGACATTTTAAAATCCTGTTTCATCAGCCTGGCTGGTTTCCTCAGGCCTTCTTTACCTCACAGCACAGCTGTTAAAAACAATGGGTCCAACACACGATAAAGGCTAATGCTGCCTTATGTTAGCACTGCTAAGCTTTCTGTTGCTATTGCTAATTGCTATCGATATATGAGTAACTTTTAGTTGCCACTGAACAAGCATATTTTGTGTCAACATCATTTGTTGATGGACTTGTTGCTCTTTCTGAAATTAAGTGCCATGCATTTCATGATGGTAATTTGTGCTGGTGATTTTACCACTACAATGGCCTGCTAAGAAATTATTATGGACTTTTCGTCTAATGATGCCAGCTGTAGATAGATGTGAGAGTACTATTGATTTTCCCATCAGAATCTTGGCATCATATACTTTACTAACCTACATAATATATGATCCAATCTGCAGACTTTACAGTGCTTAGATTCATGTAACCTGGACAAAGTTTTTTTAGTTGATGCTACAAAAAATTCTTTAATATTCCAACAAGATTTATTTAAATAGTAAGGCTGTAGCTAAGGATTGTTGTAAATTAATCTGCTTCAGCAGTAAACGGTGTCTGGGGTTAGTATCTTTAAGTGTTTATCTTCTAGCTGCCTAACTGTCCAAAATCCAATGATTTTCAATACTGACAGAGAACAGCAGCAAATCCTCACACTGAGGAATTAGATTAGATCAGTTAATCAAGCAGCTGAATGATCACCTCAGCTGTAATTCAAAGAAGCTAACTCAGCTTTTGAGGTTTAATAATTGGGTTCAAAGGGCATTAAAGATGTGAGGTCCAGCAAAATGATTAAAGACGTACTGATGAGTGTGATTAACGCACAAATTACTTTAATGTATCTAATGGTTCTTAGTTAGAAGCTACAGCAAGTGCTTCTAAAATTCACCTGACTGTGTGGTAGTACTGTTTCCTGCTTTATTTAACATGGATGTTGTACCGTTTCAATGTCTTTTACAGGGTGAGAAATATCTTATCCTCAAGAAGAAATACAGGAACTTGGTGCAAGAGCGAGAGGCCAAGCATCTTAGGCCAGATGGAGACCGACAGAGACATCTGAGTCCAGCGAGAACAACAACAACCTCAGTGCAGTGGGAAGTGACAGATGCCCCGACATCTACTCATCATGAGAAGGAGGAACAAGATGTGCCAATGTCATGTGGAGAGGCTGACGCCACAGCAGAGGTGAATTTGAAATCAGCTCACTATTCTTTACTCATTGTGAAAGCCAGAAAAACTGTGGGACAGACAGGGTGTGGTTAAGCTACAACACTGGGTGCTAAAGTGTAAATCGCCAAATTTATTTCTCGCCTCAGTACTCTGTGGCTACTCTTTATGTTAGTGACACACTTTTCTAAACAAGGGCGTTGCTGTTCGAATGCTTCGGGTTTTTTCGCCCCTCTAATCTTAGCAAGTGTCAGCATTTACTGGCAGAGCCGCTGTGTGAGAGAATAAAAAGCTGTTTTGTTTTGGCAAATCTAAGAATAAGCAATGTCCAAGGCCTTCTGTCTTTGCATAAAGGGCATCGTTGTTTAATACATACAACCAACTGTCAACAAACATTATACTCCGTAACCTCATAGTCATCATCCAACCATATTGTTCATGCAATAAAATTACATTTATGCTATGCTGCTTTTAGTATTTTCACACATGATTAGTCTGAGCAGGTACTGAAGTAAACATTATCTGCCCACACCAGATGGTGAAGGACGCTAAAAAGCAAGCAAAATGCTAATTCTGGCTGTTAACCAACACTCGACACAGCTGAATGTTTGGCCTGTAAACACTCAGCTCACAAATTAGGATCACACAAAGTTTATCAGACACTATATCTGTGCTCCTGTAGGACCAGCGAAAAGGTGCAGACCCTGTGCACCACTCTCCACGGCCACCTCCTGCCATCCAGATCCATGAAGCCCCAGAGCAAAGCAACGCAGAGGATGAGCTGGACAGAGATTCTGGGTCAAAGGTGACAGTTTGTTTAACTTAGAGGCAGTGTTTATTCTGGTATTTCCTGGCACAGAATAGTACCATCGGTGCCTTTCACACACCTGCAAAATGCAAACCCACTCACTAGCAGAGAAGTGTGTGCTGGATGGTCACGTTTAAAGGAAAACTGAGATGCAGTGTAAAAAGAAAGTAAAAATAAATGCCAGAAACTCATTTTAAAAAGCTGGGCATGTTTACAAGTCTGCATTTCTTTTAAAAAAACACCTTGTATGATCGCTTCAGTTGTAATATCAAAAAGTTGCCCGTTTATGGTTAATATTGAACCTGTGCTATGTAAACAACACATGCAGGAATCCAGCCTGTAAGAGAATTGCTGGCAGTGAAGAATTCAAAATAGAAAATGAAAAGATTCTTTTGTGATCATTTGAATTTTATAACAAGAATTTTAATCCAGGTAGAAACCAGAGTCTTTAATTCTGTGAAAAAGAGTTTAGACTGGCACTAATACTGCTGGAGAGGCTTATGTCTGTGCATTAGTTGTTATAGACAGTTTTAGGTATCTGGTTAATTGGAAACCCTTTGTATCTGAAGATCTTAAAATAAATGTAACGTCCTTTTGATAAAAGCTGCAGGCCTTTCAGAAGGACATTCACTGCAGGTTCATTCTCAACATTTAGCGTCTTTCACTGTACTTTGTCAGAGGAAGGGAAAGACTTCAGGGGAAATGGGAAACACTGACTCCTTTCACCCACCAGGTGGTGCCAAATAAATTAACTAGATTTGTAACCACATGTTAAATGTGAGAGGGAGGAGGACCAGTCGGGGGAGAATCTGCATTTAAACTAAGCCCTCTTATCATGGTAAGCAGCAACATGTTGAAGATCATTAGACATGGGGATTCATCCCAGGGACTTTCCTCGATGACCTGCACGACACGTAGATGAAATGTGTTGATGTGCGAGTGTGTTAATGTAGGACTTGAAGCAGATTAGGTGTGTTTATTTAAGGTGTCTTGATGCATGCTCAATCATCCAGGTAATCCAGGTAAGGAAATCCTAGAAAGTTGATGCTGGACGCTCCGTCTAGACAAACAGAATGAGCCTTATGGTGTTTATTTATGGTGGTAGCCACTACAACCTTTGATATAAGTACACCTATTAAAGTGTTGACAGTTGTTTCATGTTACAGAGACCATCTGCCAACTGTGATATTTGGTTCTTGGATTAGAAAAGAAAAAGCTATTTAGATTATCACAGTTCCCAGAAGTATTTGGGAGGAAACCATCATCACTTTGTTGTCTTATCCACTAAAAGAATTAACAACATGGTGTTGCGCCACAAAGTTGCTGGGTGTAAAGTTGATGTCCAATCTGATTTTCTTCCCACAGACATTGCCCAAATGTCTGTGCGACCTTATAATCTTCTCAGACCTGTCGAAATTTGGCCCGCTTCTCGAGAAGTGCTAAGGCAGGAGTGGCTCCACATCAAGAGGTTTTAGTGTGTCATGTGGTTCTCCATAGGGCAGATCTGCTAAACTCATGTTGGTCACAACGGATTACAACTAGAGCACAACTGAAAAAGGTGATTTATCAGTGCTGGCATGTGCGTTGGAGAGTTAAATAAAAATAAATTGATAAAGTTATTTAGAAATGGTACTTTCCATTAGTTTATTCTTCAGAGAGTGGCGAAAATGTTAGTCACACTATGAATGGTATGGTCATTGTACGACAATGATCCAGACTGACATACCTGTAAACTCATATTCACAAATTGCACTGCAGCCCTGAGCTTTTCTAGATGCCACCTGACTGAGGTATGCAAATGTTGAAGCAGTCACATTTGATATTAGCTTCTCTTTAACCCATCAGATCTCCGGTACAAAATCTGTGAGATGCCAAGTTGCTGGTAATAATGTGTCAATGCACTTCCCTCATCTAAACTTAAAGGAGTATTTTTTAGTAGTGCAAATGTGTGTGAAGACATTCCCTGCTGTGTGGTTCATGTGAGAAAGAACAGCTGTGGAAAATGTTGATTCTCCAGAAATAGTCAAAATTGAATGTGAAACAGCTTACATCTATCAGAACAATTGGCACAAACGTTTGGATAGAAATTAATAAAATATAATTTCTAAAAAGAAATATACATTTTTAGATTTAGACATGAATGTAGTCTTGAAATCATTCTCGATTCTTATGTTCAGCACTGTAAACCTGAACAAATTAGAACTTGTATAGTTGTAAGTCTTTTTAAGTTTATGAACTTAAAAGTTGAAGCTTATCAGAACATTATGAGAACAACAATATTTTGACTACATTTGATATGCATATTCTGACAAAAGTTTTAAAAAAGTCATAATAATTAAATTCAGAAATATTTAGTAAGTAGAACTTAATCAGTGATCAATTTGCTTTGATCAATGGGCCTTGATCAGTAGTTGTTGATCAATGGTCATGAGAATTTGCATATTAATGATGAAGGAACTGACTCACAGCCCATTGTTTCTTTCAATGGTGCTAGGTGCTAGTTTCAGTCAAGTTTTAGTTTTTGTGTAATGTGCTGTTTATAAGATTGGGGAAACCTGCAGTCAGCTGAGACTGAAGAAGTCATTTTGATGAGTGACGAAATGTTTCTCACACCAAAAACGCTACGTCCAGATAAACAGAATCAACCTTTTGGGAACTAGAACTTAAAGTTTTCATTTATGTCTCCCATGTGAATAAGTTGACAAAACTTAAAAGGAAGCACAACAGAGTCACTTTTTAGGTTTACCAAAACTCTGTTTGAACTCCTTTGAAGGTTGGACCTCTGAGTACACATGCATTGGGGGGGGGGAGTGCAATACAGGAGAACTACTTAGTCAGTTTAAAATTAATTGAACTATGAAGAAGTGATAGTTGTGGCTCTTCTCCATACAGTGCTATTTGTTCAAGTTCCTCCATACTAGTGTAAGAGATACCTGTATGGAGGTATCTTGGAGTATCCAAGAGATGCCCCAAATTTTGCCTGCCAGCATGTATGCTACAGTGAGAACACATTTAGTGGTGTGGCTAGCATATTTAGTTTGTAGAAATATTAGACATTGTTGAAAAAGAAAAAAAACAATAATTCTCACTAGAGCAGGGCGATATGGCCAAAAATATTTATCACGATATATATTTGAAAATTTGCGATAACGATATAACAGACGATATAATTGATGCGAGACAAAATACAACTCCACAACATTACTAGTGCAAAAAGACAACCTTCCATTTATTTTCACTTAAACAAGAAGCTGGTTTTTATGTACATTAAAGCTTTATAAAAATGTAACAGTGCAAATGCAAATTCCTTGCTGAAAGTTTAACCAAAAGGCATTTCCAGTAGAAATGGGCTGACATATCCTGAGCATAACCATGTATAATATCCACTGAAGTTAAAAAGAGGTGCTTTGCAACATTAAACTGCAGTGTGCAGTACGTATTTTTTGGACCATAAGGTGCACGGGATTATATGGCACATTAAGCGAAACAAAGCAGTCAGATAAATCAAACTTTATTAAACTCATTCTTCTTGCTTCCTCCACTTCTGTACCATTGTTTCATTAATGTTGAATTCTCTGGCAGCTGCTCTATTCCCATGTTGTTGCAGTATATTAATGACTAACCTCGTATTGTGGATGGATTATCTCAGTTGTTCTCCTGACTGAAGTTTGGTCCGTTTACAGCATCCTGCCATGCGATTGCATTTGTCTCTAACCATGAAGAACCTTCACGTTCACTTTTATAAGTGGAAAAGTGTTAGTGTTCGTCCTCCAGCTTCACTGTTTATGTTATGCTAACATAGCTGTGTCGCTAGCGATCACGTAGCACATCATTATATACCAGCTAGCCCAACTTCAGTAACCCTACAAACGTCACTGCTGTTTAGTTTCCTGTCTTCATTTATGTTGGAAGTGATAGCAGAGCTGTACGTTTGATTTTTTTCAGAAATCTCTCAGTCAGAACATGCAATATCATGCTTAGGTAACTAGCGAAACTAGCGCGCTAACTTCCTGCTAACTTCTAACTCCGTTAAATGTAATAACTTTTGTTTTCATGGATGCCTGGAAGTTAAACTTTATAGTTACACCTGGTAAAGCAGCAATGCTGATCGTTTTATTAAAGATGAAAGAATTTAGACAGTTTTTAACTCTAAGTGATGCTGCAGTGTTGTTTGACCTGAAGTATACGGAGTTTAGGACCCAGATTACTCCCAGATTTAAGAGCATCTTAGTCCGACAAATATGACAATAACAACGGCCGCTTGCATGTTCTGCAAAAAAATGTGCTTTGTTGTGTATCTGACGGACAAACACCAAACCAGTTCCACATCACGGAAGTTGCACCATTTTTACAAACCAATTCTGGTTCATCAGTTTCACTCAACAATCGGCCATGTGCGTATGAAAACAAAGGCACTGCGCATGCGCGTTTTACTCCCATTCTATCGCGATATTTCATTTTCCTATCGTTGCCTAACATTATACCGGTATTACCGTGAACGGTATAATATGGCCCAGCCCTAATTCTCACTTTCAAAAGGCTGAGGTTCAGCAACATCTTCCTCTCAAAAAGCTCAGCCATTTCCACATGGTCATATCGCTAAAGGTTAATTTGTCTTTTTTTTTTTTTTTAAACAGCTCACATCACTTACCTAACAAATACTCCTGCCCTTTTTTATCAGTTCTGAAATCTTTATGAGCTTCATCCCCTTAAATTTGAAAGACTTTGTCGTAATGTCTGTATACAATAGCAGTTTGTCTCAGCTGCCGTAGCAAACTCAGTCAGCTAAATTAGTGAAGTGGCTAGGTTAGCTTATTAGCTGTTAGCTAGCTGCCACTACAAAGAATAGATTTGCTGACATTTCACTAAAATGCTTTAGAAAAGAGAGAAATCTAAAGAAAATTCAAGTACGTACTGTGATACAAACAATGCTGTTAAAGGTCAACAGGGACTAATACAGAGCCACTTACAGCCAGTGTTCCTTGCTTTTCAATGAGTCTTCCAATCAAACAACTGCAGACAAGTGGATGGACCCCTATACTTGACAGGAAATGACCTCACTAGTGAAGTCTATTTTAGAAAATAAAAATCTAAGTAAAAAGGTCTGTTGACTGTTTTTAAAGCTTGCAGATAAATGCCTCAATAAATTCATTATTTTTAAGTCAAATTGTTTTTGTTTTTTTTACATATTATAAAATTTCTATGAAATATTTAAAGAAAGAAATAAAAGCAAAAAAAAGATAAATATTGTTAAACTTTGTGTATAATGTTAGTGCAACAACCTGTGAGCAACCAATAAAAGGACATGTCTGGAGTTTTGATCTCCTCCATACCCGCTTCACACCCTGGAGGACGGGGCTGTGGCCCCCCCACACTCCCTAGCAGATCATTACATGGAGAAACCTTTGGAATGCAAGCATGCTGATCCACACAGGTATGCACACATGGGTATTCACAGACGCGGACTAAAGCTTTCTTGGCTGCTGCCTCAAAGCACACTGTGCGCTGTCTATCTTGCGTGCTGCACAATATCGTTTATTATTTAGTAAATATTGATATCTATGACTAGCTAGTTTATTGTGATGGTGCTTTGTTTTCTCTATTATTATGTTGCTCTTTGTTGTTTGCTGTCTCCTCTGTTTGTTTTTTTTGTTTGTTTTGTTTTTTTTCTCCATACAGGTGACCCAGGAGTTCTTTTTTTTTTTTTCTCTCTCTTCCCCCCCCTTCTCACCGTCTCTTCTCCCCTTTGGTTTTCTTTCTTTCTCTCCCCCTCTTTCTCTCATTCATTCCCCCTGTCCTATTTATTTAAAAAACAAAAAACAAAAAACAAAAAAACAAAAAAAATGACAAAGGATGAACTGAAGCTCTGCCATCACGTAATGTCGCATACTGCTGTTTCTGATGTCATTTAAGAAAAAAAAAAAAAAAAAAAAAAAAGGACATTCTAAATCAATCTCAATCAGCCCAGCTGATATACCGACTAAACATGTATGTTTGGGATCAAATTAACCCCAGGAGTAAGATGTCTGCCATATAATTTAAATAATTTAGTAAAATTAAATTATATTTAGGTATCTAATATCCAAAATAGTTGAAGTTGATTCAAAATAATAAGTTGAATTAACTCAAATAAAAGAAAGTGTTAGATGAATTAAGCTTTTTTGAGGTACTCGAACTAATGTAAAAATATGTTTACATTACTTAGTTTATTTAAGTACTTTCAACGTTTGGGTTTACAGTGAGATTATAAAAGTTGATGAGTTTTAAAAGCCTTGCAAGCCTGTTCATCCATCCATCCATTCATCTGGCTGGTGTAGTAGCTTTGCCATGATTGGTTCCTCACCCTGTTTTTAAGCGAAAGCCCGGACACTCTTCGAAGGAAGCTCATTTTTTCTGCTTGCATATTATTTGGGTCACTACCCTCAGCTTGTGGCAATAGGTGAGGGTAAGAATGCAGACTGGCTGGTAAATTAGCAGCTTTGCTTTCACACTCCAGCTAATTTTGCTAATCAGTTGGCTTTTTCCTCTTACTCCCATGATGAGGTTAACATTTGTGGAGGCACATTTGTTTTAAGTGAAATATCTTTACTCAACTATGTGAAGATATTTATGTAACAATAACTTCAGGAATTCTTTGAAGAATACTGATATGCTAAGATGGAGAACTAACAATTACCTGCTAAACATCCCACTGTAACCATGTAATAATGGGAAGTTTTAGCTCAAAGCATTTCTGTCTTTAAGTACATCCTCAGTGTCTGTTCACTCAGTGGCCTGTTTAACTGTGGCACTTCAATAAATATTTAGATTTTGGACAAATGGTCACTTTTAGGACCGCTTGAGAATAATTTTAAAGGCGAGGTGAAAATTCAAACAAAAACCATCATTTTGACAGTGAAAATAATGCTTATACGCCTTAAAATAGTGCTGAAATGGTCTTTGCTAAAATTGAGATTCTTTCATCCTCTTCTGTCTTTCCCTTGAATACATACCCAACAATGGTATTTTGTTTTCTCTGTCTGTTATTACTGGTCGCCAGCAAAAATAGCTAAAAACGCATGTGTGCCAGAGTGGAGTAGGCTGGATAAATATCATCCCTCCACTTTTCGTGTTCGGCAGAGTGACATGTGCAGTTTGTGCCACAGACATGAAAGGGCCGAGTGTTCTAACATGATGTCTCTGTGTGAGCTGAGAACAATTTGCAATTCTCTCACACATAAATCAACCACTATGACACTTTTATACACCGCTTTCATTATTTAAGAAGTTCTCTTCTTGACCTCTTTACACTAATATGGTGACAAAAACATATGGCCTGACTGCAGGCGAGTTGTTTTTTGGGTTAATTGTTAATTGGATTGTTATTCATTACCCCTTATGTGTGAATGCGTCACCTCTGTCTCGCTGTCTCATTACCTATCTATCTGTCTCACACCCTTTGGTCACATCTCGCCGGCTGGAAAACATCACAGCAGTGTGACCAGTGTGTGAAAAAGTGTGTGTCCTGTGATCTCAAATCATGCTGTGGGAGTGTTATGACTGAAACAGTAGTTAACTTTTATCAGAGCTCAGCTTTTTGTCACCTCTGAGTAACACTCTTCTGACTTTGTGTTTCAGTCTGAGTCGGAGCAAGACGAGGAGGGTACAGGCAGTATGGGCTCTGCTTCTGTCGCTGTAAGTGCTTCTAGCTCTTTTTTCTATTGCTTTATTATTGATGAAGAGATATAAGTGAACCATTTCAGGAGTAGAGCCGCTGAAGTTTCCTTTTTGTCTCATTAACATGTGTCAATCATGGATTTGGCCTTGTAAATACACATTCACTCTCCCTGTGGTTTCACTAAACAAACAGCAGACGTTAAAATCCAAACCGTTGAAACCAGCTTCATCATGGGCGTCTCCCACAATGTGTCAGCTGGCTGTGACTAGTAGCATGTAGGAAATGGATTAGAGGTTTGTGGCCTCAGCACTATCAAAAGAGCCCATAACAGGATGTGTGTGTTTGTGTGTGTGTGTGTGTGTCCTAGCTGGATCCTTTAGAGAAGGAGTGGATCTATTCTGCTGCCGGTGCTCGAGTCCCTGACCTCTCTCAGCTGCTCAGACAGGACCGCGCACTGGCAAACAAGAAGGTAGTGCTGCCCTCTGCCTCAGTGCTTAAAGGATAAATCCAGTTTAGTACAAATTGGACATTTTACTATTATCACTGGATTTGATGGGGCAAAAAACACAAACAGCCAAACAATCAGAAAGTTTCACTTTAAACACATAACTCCTTTTCCAGACTTATTTAGAAAAGGAAAAAATGTTAAAACTATTATTGAAAACTGTTTTGGAATTGGGTAACGCTGGCGAAGGACAGATATAATATAACAAAGTGGGCACAAGGTAAATTTTAATGAGGCCTCGCTAGACTGTCAACTTGTTAAGAAGGTATTCCATGAAGAAACCCATGAAAAAAAGGTCTCTGATAAGTTAAGAATACTTCTTACAATCAAAAGTATAAACAAAGATACGAATGTTAATTAACCTGCTAAATTACGACAGGTGAAGTAATAAAATGTATCTTCTCACAATGCAACATGGAAAGAAGATCAGTTTTACATGGAAATCCTGGAATATGGTGGTAATTGCCAAACAACTAACCATTGATACAAACCAAGTGCACCACGAAGGTATGATGCATCCCATCACACCCTAAAAACGTGACAGATTATGGTAGAAATTCTGTATTATGTAATCTTTTACATATATATTTAGTGTCGACATTTGTCAAAAAGGGTACAAGAGATGTAATAAACTTAAATGATTTGTTCTTACTGAAGCAGATAACACCGATTACTCATTATTAAACTATAATTAAAATAAATATTAGGCTTAGCGGTGGGTCAGTGAACACCCGTTGATCTGAAAAAAATTTATATTTCATTACAGTTTTGCTGAGGTTGCTGGCTGTTGCTAGGTAAAATCAGTTGCAAAGAGGTATGCGGTGCTGCAAAGTTGTGCTTTTGAAAAAGTGCAGCAGGGCAGAATTTCTACTCTGAAGGGACAATTCAGTTGGTAGTTGTTGGGCTTATGCAAAGAAGACAGACTTTAGTGGTACTTAAAGAGTCTCCTGACATAGCAACACAATCCACACCCTGACGACCTGATTCATGTTCCAACTAACGGTTGGTCATCACAGTGCAAGAGCTTTAGAGGAAATTTGTCTCCCCTTTGGTACTTACACAGTAACTTGTAACTTACTTTACACAGTCTATTTATTTATTTATTATGTTTACTGAAACAATTAGTCACACAGCATTAATACAGACAACAGCATCAAGGGTTTTTAAAAAGCTATTCTTGGTCTCGTCTTTTTAATCTTCACAGTCCACACCTGCTGGAAAATTACAGCAGTGAGCAAAAGGGGCTTTAAAACGCTGCTGATTCTGTAGTTCCAGGAAGTACTTGAGTAAGGATAAAATCTGATTGCTTCCTTGCTTGTGTTTCTGTCCATGTCAGAATTCAATGGTTATTCTAGTATTAAAGACATAAATAAATGATGACTGAAAAAAAGATGAGTAAACAAAAAGAAAACATATCTAACCGTTTCAAATGGCTGGAATAATAATTAATATTTGTTTTCACTAATACTTGTGTTCTTGTTCTATTTTTGGTGGGGTGGTGATACCAGGATTTCACTTCAGTGAGTATTTGATACCCTATACGTAGCATGTTGCAGTATTATATCTACTTTGTGTTCATTGTTGTTTATCGTTCAATGACTATTTCTGACCTGTTGCTTCTCGCGTTCTCTTTTTGACACACGATGGCCCCTGGCTGTGACCGTGCCCACCTTTTCCAGGGTGTAAGTTTCACACATCATACTTCCATCTGCATCCTGTAGAAATTCGAAGTTCATTTCCAATGCCCTTTGGGAAAATTCTCAATGCATCTGCAATGACTTGTACTCAGATTTGTCTTTCGCTTTCGTAACGTTTACAAGCTCATCCTGCTGCAATTTTTTCCCCTTAATAGTATTCTGAGAACTCTGTGTTAAAACATCCAGATCACGCATTTCAAAAGGTCCACTATCAAAAGGATTATGAAAGATAGCTTTTTAGCTCCTGTGCCCCCCTGACAACCCAAATCCTTTTATTTGTCTCCCTGTGCGCTTAAGAGATTTTGAGCTCCTGTTTGTTGTCCCTCCCCTGTGTCACAGTTCTCACACCGTCCTGTGGCCATGGCAGACCACCTTCTAAGAGTAGCCTTAAGCCTTTGCCATCTCTACCCGGACAAGATAGCACGGCCGCCATTGAAGTTTAGGGAGATGGGGAGGGAGGGGGGGATTAAGGAGAGTCTTAATGCCCCACAAAGAGTTCACCCACTTAAAGATAATCTGAAAGTAATAGAGGAGGCTGGGATTAATTGTAGAACAATGCTGGTTGTGTCCCTGGGAAGGTGCTAATTCCCCCTCAGGCCTCTTTGATGTTCCTCTTTAGCCTTCAGCCTTTCCCTGCTCTGCAGTGGTAGAAGCATTTCCAGAGATAATGCACAGTGATACCGACAATCAAAAAGTCACACGACTGCTGGCGTCTTTAACACTGGGAATTATTATATTTGATCTTTTGCTGGCTTGATTTTACTTAACAGAGGTTTAGCCGAGTGTACCACATAGCAAGCTGCAAATCACACGTTTGAGCAGCACTGAAGGGATTACCCTTCAGTGTTGGGAGGACTAAGTGTTTCCTGTTCTGACAAAATGTTTGTGAGGATAAGGTGGATTTATAGATATGCTCTTCAAACAGTGACCTAAAAGTGAAGGCTTAACACAGGTCATCTCACCTGAATGCAGCACTTCTCACCCCAGAGTCTAATGGCCTTTCTCTCTTCCTGTTCTCCTCATTACGTGGGCCTCCGTTTCTGCCGTGATGGACTTCCCCTGCCACACAGTTTGTAAGTACATCATTAGCCCATCACTCCTCTCTATCTTCCTCCACATCCAGGGAAGTGTCAGGCACACAAGGCCTTTGTGTCCCCTGTCGATGTCCTCTTTAGCCACCACTTCCCTCACTGGAGAGCACGTGGTGGGGACAGAGCCATCCCTGAGTGAGCAGACAGGTGGGGGGTTACCTCAGTGTGCAGGAACAGAAACGAGAGGTGCAGGAGGGAAAGACGCAGCATCCTGTTCAGCCTCGTCCATCACTCCTGCCCACTGAGAAACCCGCTGAGCCGCCTGTCAAAGAGCCCCTTGGCCAATCTGTCTTAAGCTGTGACAGGGGACAGACAAAAGAGATGGAGATACTCCAGCCAGACAGCATCTATTACAATCTGTCTCGCAGACGAGCGACGCAGAGAGATGGAGCTACATATGGCTTCCTTTGCCTTCAGTGGATAAGATAGATTTTTCTGTTGCCAGCTGTTGAACCAACTTGTTTTGCTATGAGCATTAGGAGTTCTGGACAAAATTTTAAGCACTGGTAGTGTCAGTTTCTCTTGATATTTAAGTCACAGGTTGACCATCCAATCCTCTGAGAAACTTTATCTGGTCCCAACATTTCTAAACATCTACTACATTAAAAAAAAGGTGTTGACAGCATTAATAAGACCGTTTTTTACTAGTCTCGTGGGTACAGAAGATTCTGTTTCCCATACAGATTGGTGGAAATGACACAAGTTACACAATACGCATATTAATGCTGACAAATTTGACTGATATAAAATTTTTGAAATATTTAGTGTGAAAATGAACATGAGGATTTATTACTAATGGGGTATGACAGAAAAAAGGACAAAATGCTAATATATCCACTTAATTTGTCCAAAAGATTGAATTTTTATACATATTACACATAAAGGTATATATATATATTATACACATTTTTAAACAGCTGCAAGTTTTTTAAAGATCTGAGGCATTCAAAGACTGTCAAGTATTTATTTTAAAGAAAACAGAGATATTTAGCTTTGTAACGGAAGTGTACTGGTAGTTGTAATGGTAATTTATATAATGCAGTGTGCTTCTAATTTGAGAGAAAGAAAAAAATCATTGCTGATTTTTCACAGCCACACGTTTTTATCAAATAACGTCAGTATTTTTTATGTTATGTTGTAGCAGTGAATAGTAGTAGTGAGATCGTTCGACCAGTTAAACTCATAAAATCATCACGATAAAAGAGTTTTTTTCATTTTATTTGATCCCCTGTGAAGCTGTTCAGTTAACCGAAGTAAAGAGGTTACAGGGTTTTCATCTGTCCGCAGTTAACATGTAATTCTGAAATGGTTACTGTTTGATTTGCTCTGTTAAGGGTCAAACTGCTAAAGGGATGGATGTGGTTACTTAGCTGACATCTGCACCTACGCTGCTTTCACCTGTTGATAGCCCATAATTATGCAGCTTAAAGTGTAGGAAAAACAGAGGAGATCACAGTTCTAGTCAGACAGGTGGATATGATTTGCATGTGCTGCGTGTACACATGCGTATTATTTTCACACCTATGAACATATTTTTGCTTGAGGACCTCTCCGAGTATCTCTCAGACTTCTATCATGGGAGCTCTTGTTTTCCTCCTTGACGTGTGCTGACAGTAGTGCAGTGATGTCTGGGTGGGTCTCCCCTCTGCGGGTCACACTAACATCATCAATCTTCCCCCTGGTGACAGGCGGCTGGGCCCCCCAACTGTGGGCACAGGGCTGTGTTGTTTTGTAATTAGGCTTCGTTAGATGGCAGGAAACCATCCCTCCATCTTACCATCTCTCCACAGCCCTCCCCCGTGCACAGCTGGCCCTCTGAACTCAGATAGCCAATAAGAAGCCCAGCTCACTGTGGACCACTTGTAATAATGCCAAATATTGTCTGATCATATTTTTAGGACTAACAAATGTTTCCCTATTCCAAACAGACAGCTCTGCACTGGGCTGCCAAACATGGCAATGAGGAAATGGCCACACTCGTGGTTAATGCCGGTGGCGATGTCAACATTAAATCAGTGAGTGCATTTTTTTTCCCCTTAACTTTAGACAAGTTTAAAAGGGCACTCTTAATGATTTCATGCTTCACATTATGTATTTAAGTTCTAAAAAATGTATCCAAATAAAAAGAATCCCTACATATTCTAACATTCACTTCCCAGTATCCATGTCTTATACTATCCACTAATGTAGAAGTCCTATTTATATTTAACATTATCCAAGTCACAGTTGGAGCACTCGTATGCACAGAAAAGCATGAAACCCTGTCATTTGATTCATTGGTCCAAAACATTTAAGTACTATATTAGTATATACATACTTCTTTGATGATAATGTAAAAGGTAGAAGACGTATTATGGCAGACTAATGCAGATCTACAAGTATAAATGCAAGCAACAATATTGCCCAGAGAACTATAAATTGCACTTTAATGAATGGCTGTTTGGCTAGTTTAGCCTGAATGCTTAAAAGTTCAGGCTCTAGGCTTACCACCAGAGACAAAGAATAAATTACAGCTGTTTTTATAAGCAGTGTCTCCATCGTGGGTGAACTGAAACCACAGCAGTGCCCTTGTAAATTTTATTTCAGTTATGCTTTAGTGTAAAATCGCAGTCATTGTTTTCTTCATGGCGTTCTTCTTTCTTGCAGCACGTGAGTAACCAGGCTTTTCCCGGGCACGGATGGGTAATGTACAGTAAATGATTTGTCTTGAAAGAACAACCGCCTCGCTGCTGGCCTCTTCTGCTGTGATGTAATGCTCCTAAAAGATCTCTGTGAAGATCCAGCTGTACAAATGTATTACAGGAGCACGTGTTGCGGGGCTGCTGCGGGTCTACTCCGCTAATAAATCATGTCATGTCATTTTAATTGTTTCCCAAAACAGTGCGTCAATGTGCCAGCATGCACAACTCTACAACTATGCAATTTTCAGAGAATTACATGCAATTATGTTTTTATCATTATCTGGTGTTTCCATAACCTTTGCTAATTTGTATATTCTTTTCCATGCTGTTTTCATTGGCTGTCCTTGGGCCTGGGAAACTCTAGGGGGTAGGTACTTTCAGCAATCTTCCAGCACTTTGCCAAAGTTATTCCCCTCAACTCCACACAAAGTCAAAATGTAAACTCGAAACTCTTTTTATGTGTCGGTTGAGTGACTGTTTTTGGCGTGTTTGCATACCAAGCGGCCTCACCAAGAAATTACCTTCAGAATACACATGTTGTTGCATGTTTTCATTTTGTTTTACACTTATTTTTGCTCTGCAGGGATACACACCTTTACACATCGCAGCGTTACATGGACATCGGCACATTCTTGACCTGCTCGTAGGGACATACGGTAAAAAGTGGTTTTGTTTAACCTACTGGTGCCACAAAAAATGCTTTGCAAGTTTTCGCCACTGAAAAAGAATCTTGCAAGTAATTTAAAGAGTAACAGCTGGTTACCTCATGTAGGTAGATTTGTTTACCTTTAGATTATGTGTCATTCCTTAAAGCTTTTGGTGTAAGATGTCAGTGAAGTATCTGCTTAGGCTTATCTGCTGCTTAGTCTCTGCTTTCAGTCATTTATTTTTTGTCTTACCAGGGGCTAAAGAAAACTTGCGAGACTACAGTGGTCATCTTGCCTGCCATTATCTTAACATCAAAGAAGCAGAAGGTCCAGATGAAGACTGTGAGCTACGTGAGTGAATGATTCTTCTAGTTTTGCTGCTAAAACTATTTGATGACCTTCCCTGCTGTGGTTTTGTATTTTGTTTAAATTCTTTATTTGGAATTAGCTCCTTTGAAAATAGGATTAATACACTTCAGGCTCATCCACACAAATGTGCATGGGGTGAAAAAGATATAGGGGAATATGTGCGTTATTCTCAGTCTTATGTTTTTCTTTTCAGACACTGGTGATCAAGTAAAACGGAACAATACAAACAGTGTAACGCATGAGAATTAAATCCCCCGTCCACTCGGTGCTATTTTGCCAACTGTGTCATCTAACTTCAACATTTTAATATAAAATCAACAATATCAGCTGCACAAAATAGAATCAATAATAATAAATAGATATTCAGCTTCATTACATTCCTACATATCAGACTTGCCTGAGATATGTAGTCTGCTTAGATGTTTTCTGCTTTGTGCAGAGCAACAACTGCAGTGCGTCGGCCCTCTAATACCCACATCTGTAAACAGGGAATGCCAGTCAGGTTGGGGTTGATCGTTTCACACAGCAGTGTGTGTCTGTATCAGCCCATCACAGCAGCTTTACCATTACAAACAGTGATCATAATTTCTTCAGAGACACCCTGCATAGCAAGAGTTTGCCGCTGCAGGATGCATGTTAAAAATCAAGGTGGGGGATGAATTCTTTAAAATATCCTTTTAAAGAAACTTTCCTGTTCACAATAGGAGTGTTTCAAAAAAATATCTACATCCAGAAGAAAACACAAAAAGCAACAGGTGGTGATATAACTCTAGAAGTATAGAAGTGTCGGCCAATCAGCAGCCTAGGAGGGATAGTTATTAGACAAACACGGCACATGGCAGTACAAAGGAAAATCTGAAAATACAGCCGTATATGCTGACGTCCATGTTCTTTTCTTACAGCAATACACACTGAACGCATGAAGTAAAACAAATTAGTTCACACATTTGACACTTAACTCCTCGTCCACACATAAGCAGTTTTTTTAAACATTTGGTTTTGAAAAGGAATCCTTGGTTTATCACAAGTCACTGGGACTGTGTTTGATTTAAGCAGCTCTAACCACACTTTAAGTTGAAATAAATAAATAAATAATAAATAAGTAAAAATATTTTTTTTAGGAATAGCTCAACATTTTGGAAAACATAGAAATTATGTAAGCCTGCCTATCTAAATACTTGCATATCACTTTTCTTTAATAATATTTATATATTTTTACTATATTCGAATTTATTCTACTAACTGTAGTAACACAACCGGTTTCATTTCTTTTAAATAACAATTGATGTAACTGCATATTTATGGACACTGACACTAATAGAAACTATGAATCCCCTGTCACTCCTCTGTGACATTCAGTAACCCCATCCTGAGTCATTTTCCTTTTGCCAAAAGGAAAAACAACACTTGCTCCTCATCCAGGCTTGTAGTGCAGCTACACTGAAGACAGTATTCAATACAGAGGAAGTGATCAGGTTTTATTGATTAGTAAATCTGTGATGTTTTGGACTCAAAAATGTACCTAACCGTCTAACCCCCTGCAAGCAATGTGCACTGAAGGATGAAGGATTAAATAAGGAATTTCTGGACAGCGGAACTTAAACTTGGACCCAAATTCAAATTTGAAAAGGCTGTTGGAAGACATCCATAGAAATATGCAGATTTACTTTATCCGCTTCCGTTTTTGAACAGAGGAATGTCACTCTGTCTGCACACCAACTGTGAAGTAGACAGTTACTGTAGTTTTGCATAACTATCTGGTGTAGGAGGGAACAGCAGTGTTCTGTGTTTATGATAAGCTAAGCTACACCACATTGGTGTTTATTTCCTGATCTAAACTCGACAAGACAGAGGAGAGGACTGTTTTCCCAAATGTTGAAGTTTTTTTTTATGCCATGTCCCGTCCTGAAACACCTCTCTACAGTTTGTGCCCATTAATGGCAATAAAAAAAAAAGGATTTGATTGACTCAGAAATCATCAAACCTTGGTTTCACTACAAAGTTTCACCTGCATTGTTACTATGTATCAGCTACTATTAGTGTAACATCGGACACTGTATAGAACACTGTGGTTCTTTCACTCATTAATGAATTTTGTTTCTTATGCTTTCAGAGTTTCAAGTAACTCAGGCCAGGGAGCGGAACAAGAACAGGAAGTTGGCATCGTTGTTTCACTCCAAGAAGAAGTGGGGGTCAGCAGAGGAGCTGGCTCCGATAGAGGAGGAGAGGACAGCGTCACATCAGCTCGCACTTCCTGCTTTTAGACCCAGAAAATTCTCCCGCTGAGGGAAAACAAACTCCAAGTATTAATGTGTATATTTATTATATGTACACACACACACACACACACACACACACACACACACACACAGGATTCACACCTGTGCTTACAGATCCAATCAAATGTTTGCCACCTAAACAAAATTAGAGAAACCAGGTATACTTGTTCATGCATATAATCCATATTTTTCCTCACAGCTTGTTTAAATATTTTTTTGAATTTTTAATTTTGTTGATCAATGTTCTTCAGTGTTACTTAAAGTGACACATGCCTTACAGGTTTTCCTTAACCTGATGGTCAAGCTAGTGATTTTCTCTATTTTTCTTGTTTTATTGTTTACAAATTCAATGAAAAGACCAAAAATGATAACGTCTTAGTCTCCCTCTCTATACTTGTTCAGCCTTTCAGTGGTTTTCAGATCTCTAACTTTTAAAAAATTGCTCAAGAATGCACATTTTTAAGAGTGACCACCGAATCAAAACTTTGTATTATTGGAGAGTATTTTTAGTCGTACATCGGCTGGCTTAGTAAGAATTTAGGGATTAAAATAAACTACAGTTTTAACGATAAATAATACACCACACTGATCTGTAGTTGGTAGGGTTTTAAGCAATGGCTGAGCATTCTGGCACAGAAAAAAAAAGTCTGACTTTAAGTTGAGCGATAATACTTCTCATTTCCATATATACAAATAAAAGTTACCAGACTTGGCCCTTAAAAGGATCATTTAATGTCTTTTGTATGTTTCGGTCCTTTAAATGCACCATAACTTAAGCTGAACATTGCAGTTAAACTGATTTCCTTCAGTCCTTGACAGCAGCTAACGTTAATTATGTGGTAAAAGTATTATTTAAAACTTAACACTCTTAAGGGAATGTACAGAACAGTGCCTCACTGCAAATATAATTCACAAAAACACTAAATTTAGCATTTAACCATTTCATTTCACTCTGCTTCTTTAAAAAAAACTTTGCTCATTGCCCTCCTTTCAACAAAAATAAAATACTAAACCTTCCCTCTTTTTCTCGCGCTCCTCCTCCTCCACCAGCTCACACTCAAATACAGAGTCTATAACACGACTTTATAAATGAGCAGCTGGAAAATTCACCCAGTAATGAGATAATGCAATCAAAACAAGGATAAATATTTGTTGTGTCTAAGCTGTCTAAAGCAGGTTTCTTACAAATGACTTTTCAGACAGCACTGAAGATTAGTTTCTTGAGTAAATGAATAAGCATTTGCCTGTTTGCATAATATTTGGCAGCTGTGCTTCTAATTTGTAGTAACTGGGCTAAACATACAAAACTATTATTTTTTTCTTTTTAGATCTTGAGATTTAGTGCAAAGCAGTATTAGCATTTTTGCAAGCCTATATCTCTGCTGTGCCCCTGCTGGTTACTCTCAGGTTAGAATAACTGTGTATCTGACGTGAGGCAGTTTTTCTTAGTTTGGTGGTAAAATAACTCTGAGCACAGATGAAGTGACTCTGTTACTCGATGAAGGATTGTTAGGGAAACAAAAAGTGGTGTTTGCTGATTGTACTTGATTTGCTCACCAGCTGTTTATCAAAATGCCTGGTAACTTTTTTTTAAAATGCGTTGTTACATTGTGTTCTAAAGATTTTGCCAGCTGCTTTTAATGCTTTAAAAGTGACATATTCATTACTTTTATGTTGTTGGCAAAGATTCTCATTTTGTGTCATTTATTTTTAATCTAATTCTAGCCTCAGTTACATTTTTGCACATTATTTATATAATGAAGATATTTTGTAATTAAACTGCCTTTTATATGAAGGTGCGTGTCTTTGAATTTTCTTCCATCAACATTGTTGAGCGTCTACTTATTTGCGACATTGAAATCGACTTGGCCGTTCACACCGCGGCTTCCCTGGCTTGTAATATTGCTTTGTTTTCTCTTTCTATACAATAACCCCGGTTTTTCTTTAAGCTGCCTTTGATCTTACTTCAACTTACATGACTTGGTGGGCTACAGATGGAGTAAATATGGGCCCTGCTAACTCGCCATACGGCTTTAGACCTTAATACCTGATTAGCTGAAAAGGGCAGCACTTGCTTTTGGTTCTTGGATATCAGACAACACAGAGGGGAACAGAGGCAAGTGTTTTTGTGCTTCATTTTTGAAGCGGGGATGTTGCGGGGGGGATAAGAGGGAGTTTCTGTAATAGATACTTATCTTACTGCCCTCAAGCCCCTCAAACAAAGTCCCCCTCTGAAGAGATTATAACCCAGGGAGGGCACATTAACTTTAATCCGATGCTTTGAGGCCTCGCACCCCCATACCTCCCTCTGCCCCACTTATTTCAACCCTCCTGTTGTCGGGGGGCTACCTTGTATCTGGTGCATGTATGAGTAAGGCCTGTGGCTACACACGAGGGTTGTGTTTTTGCGCATGTATGTGTGTGAGTCAGGGGGTGGAGCGACTGTTTCAATAGCACGCTGACTCTAATGAAAAGCATTGAGGGGTGCATACTGCTGTGTAACTGATTCCTCTCTCTGAAGAGATTAGGCGCTACATTGTTGGTTCGGTTGCTCATTTCCATGAGAGCGCAGCCTCCCACCAGCGGCTGCTTGGCTTTGTTATTTTGAGTTGAAAAACACAGAGCCCAATGTCTTTGGCTTCCTTGTTACCATTGTTTCACAAATAGGCCAAAATGTAGATGTCACGTCACAGATGCCCAATAACCTCATTAGCTGCTCTCTGTTTGACCATAGAAAGAAAATAATAGATGTGTGAACTTCAGTTTGCTCAACTGGAGAGAATTTCTGCATAGCTCTGAGGTAACAATACTGTTGAAACTTTTGTTACGCAGTAAATAAAGGAGAACACATTGTGTGCATGCAGTCCATCTTGGCCACTGTTGCACTGATGCTGCCTATAATATAACTTTGAGATGTCATCCTTATTGTTTAACTCTACATATCTACAGGGAAACTGGAGGATGATGTGAGATAACAAATATTAGTAATTACAAAGGTAAAAAGACAAGATTGTACTTTAAATCCCAGTATTTAGCATTCATAATCAGTATATAAACTACTTTAAGATACACACCCAGAGAAAAGTGCTTACTCAAGTATTTTAACATGATACAGTAAAGCCGCTAAATAAAAGCTCTTTTTGTTAACCGTTACATTGTGTCAGAATCCATTTATCAGTTGTTTATTCTGCTTATAAAAATGCAAAATAGGGACTGTTTTTAACAATATGCATGTTTGTAAATTTCTCATCTTCTCACCCTTCATCTAACTTTGATGTCACCGTCCTGTTTTTTTTCTGTTGCACATGTGTGGAAGAAATTTTCAGCTGTGGTGAAGAAAAAGTCTGCAGCCAGCTAACAAGCTGATCTGCAACAACAAGCACACCGGGGAACTGATCTGACTGAGCTCACGGCAAACTGGCCAGGCCTCTAGCTGAGGGATCCTGGGGGTCCAGCACCCACCTACCGGGGCCCGATGCATGGAGATACCAGCAGCAGCGCCAGCTGTCACACTGGCCGTCACTGTCTAACCAACGCCGCCTGTCACTCACCCAGTGGAGAGCCGTCAATCAGACAACACCCAGGAGGGAGCTGGGAGGCGGGCCACTGCCCGGCCCTAAACAAAGACATACTTACATTTGCAAGCGGTTTCAGCGCCACTACTATTTTGAAAGAATGATAGAGTGGTCCTGATAAGAGCAATGACAAAGGACAAAGAATGGAAGGGGGTCTGGGAAGAGGGGGTCAGATAGCAAAGAGGTGGGAGAGCTTGATAACATTCACATTTTACTTACATCTCTCCATTTGTGTTGGTGCCCCAGGAAAATCCCATTAAGGAGTTCTGCCTGGGAAGCATTAAATAATTATTGCCAATTGACCGTCGGAGATTTTTTTTTAATCCACCCTTGGATTTGCTGGGATTTTTTTCGTGTGTGAAATTATACAAAAGAAATCGCAAACTTTGTCGTTTCATTTTGCCTCTTTTATACAAATACCTTTCAATATCTTACACGGTAAACTTGAAACAAAACTGCCATCTTCTGGTTCTACAAATCTCTGTAAACTTTCTCCTTTTTCCGTATCGAGTGCAGCAAAAATAAACTAACAAGCAAAAGGTGTTAAAGCTGCTAAAGCTTTTATTTAGGCTTTTGTTGTCTTCTTCGCACCCACATATGAGCTATTCTACTTGCATGTTTAGTCCCTTTGTCAGCTTGAGGGTATGGGATGGCCTGTAATTGAGGTCACACCTACACCTATTGTCTTGACCTGATCATTAGACCACTTGCACTGTCATTCAGCATTTTACGCTCCCAAAATAAGAAAATAAAGGGGTCTTATTAAACTTCACATCGTGTTTAGTGAGCTATAATATGAAATATGCAGAGGATTTGTTAATAGCAGGAGGATATAGAACATTGTTTCAGCACAGAGCACGGGCTCAGATGTTATCACAGATGAAGATGGGTTCATCCTCTCTGCTATCTTGCATTATCTCTCAGGGTACTGAGGACAATCGTCTTCCATTTGGTCACTTTTCTCTCCTGTAAATCACTGACATCCTAACAGCAAACAGTGCAAGCCAAACCTGTCAGAGCAGGACCAACACCTGTATTGTGGCAGAGTTGCCAAAAGAGGAAGAGAATGAAAAGACGTTCTTCAGGAGGGACAAAGGCTGCTGCCCTGAGCTGTTTGTGTTGTGAGATGTAGACTACTGAAGACATAAGCCTTCTTCTCCTTGCTCCCTAGTCAACCCATTGTTACTCTTGTACAAATTTGCTTTAGGCTATGTGGACCGCACCCAAATAAATTCCCCTCCCTCCCCCACCTTTCCTACGTTTTTTTTTTTCCCTCTAATGCTACCCCCAAGAGTTCCCACTCTCTTTACATCTGGACCTCTGTTTACATACTTACCCTGTTTAGCAAAATCTTACAAATACCTCTAAGATAATACAGAGTTTACCAAAAATAATAAAAGTAAGAGAGAAAGAACAGAAACATTTTAATTAAGGTTTTGTTTTTTAAATTAATAATAACTAACTTCTTTCCTGCATCACTTTTCTCTTACTTATTGCTTGAGAACTACCAAAAGTTGCAATGCACTTATTTTTTTCTGGCTCGTAGTATCAGCATACTCAGCAGCAGAAACCCTCATAAGATCTCTTACACTGTATTTAGCATACACAATAGTATTTACACTCAGAGAAATGCCGTTGCTATTCGCTTTTGTCCATCTTCTGTTTTTATTGTAAACGTCCAACTGTGATGAAACAAGTAGGTCTTTTACACTGCAAGAATAAATACAGAAAGCTTTCAAATAAGTGCAGTGGAGTAAAAAGTTTTAAATTTCTCTTTAATCTGTAAAAATATGCAGCATGTTTGCATATGTAGCCTAGATTAATGTGAAAGATAAAGGAAATAAATACTAGACAGTGCAAAAAGTGAGATAATTGCTAGAGGTTATTCAGATTTAGAAGAACATTGTGCTGCTACAGAAATGCATCATAAAAAACAAATTAAAACAAAAATAGCAAAATCAAAGCTGACTGAAAGTACTGTAAAAAAAACTAACAAAAAAACAACCCAAGAAGCCAAATGAAAACCAAAGAACAACAACAAAAATAGCAACTTGCAGGTGAAAATTAAAGGTCGTCAATTTAAAATGAGAAGACTGAATTTAATCTTTTCTAAAGTGTCAGCTCTGCTTGTTTCAACACTTCTTTTACCACTTAATACAAGCACTCCTGCTATCACAACCAACACTACACCTCTAATGCTGTTAATAAGATAGTCAAATTTATGCCAGATAACAGAGCTGCGCTCCTTTGAACACAAACACTCAGCTTTACTTCGACTCTTTTGAAGGGCATGAAGGAGGACAGCAGAATAAGAGGTGTAATCTTCACCTCTTATCTCTAACAACCCCCTTACTTACACACACACACACACACACACACACACACACTAGCATCTGTTATCTTATAATTATCATATACATTAGTCAACACCTGTTTCACTTAGCCTCGTTTAATTAGAGCCATTGAAACGTTGCCCTGCGCTCAAAACAATGCCATCCGACATGAAGGGCAGTGTCTTATGGTTCAGTCAGTAAATTAACAAATAAAAAGACGTTGCTCCGGGGCTTGAGAGGTTAACGGACAACTATATTTTATGTTTTCTTCATTCATTTTTAATTATTTTGTGAAAGACCTTCAAGAAATCTCTCGTAGTGACACTTTTACTCGTGCGTAAACGTCTCCTTTTGGCTTATTAGCGTAATTTATTGCTGGTGAGATGGTTAATTCAATTCACAAAACGACAGATCCGAAGGCGGTGAAGTGTCCGAAGCGGCAATAAGAGACTGGCAGGATGCTGTTAACTGTTAACTGAATTCAGGTAAAAACAAAACAAAAAAACCCTTCTCGGTTGATTAGTGCCAGACATGACAAGTGTTAAACTTGTCATAAAAATATATCACATGGAAGAAAAACTAAAATAATGCAAACTACGGATTGAGAGGGTAAGCATTACAACTTAAACAGACAATATTTTTATTTTATTTATTTTTTAGTTTTATTATTATTTTTAGTTTTGCCTTTTTGGAGGCTGTAAAATATAAATAAAAATGACGAGTCACATCGACGAATGAACAAAAATAAACTTTGCTGGACACTTTGATGTAAAATAAAGTATAAATAACAGATCTTTGCTTGTCATGTAGAGACGAGCGTCTTTAGTCACCTCTCCAAAGGGTCGCATTTGAATTGAAACGTAGGTTCTCTCCAGAAATCACAGCGTTGCGATAAGCAGCACACATTTAGCCTCTCCTCGAAAACGCTAAAAGGAACAGCGGAGGGCTTCTTTGATGGGATTTGTTGCCAGTGAAAGCTGTAGGTCTTTTGAACGTAGCTGTCAGTCAATGGGCTGTCAGTGGGATACCCCCCGTCTCCCCCCTCCCCTCCCCTCTCGCCCTCCTCCGCTGGCAGCTGGGTGTAGCCTATATAAACAGACCTAGGAGGTTGCATCAAACTCAGACCTCAACAGCTTGGACGCAGAAAAGATGCCCGCATCGCAAACTGGATTTGGCAACTTCTTCTTGGAGAGGAACATCACTATGCCGACTGGATATCAGATCCCGGTGCTGGGCTGTCCACCGGGTGTACAGCAGCAGCAGCAGGCTCAGCATCTGGCTGCGATGGCAGCTGGGATTCCCATACCATACTCAGGACTACAGGGATATAACTTTATACCCTATCCACACCACAGGCACATTGCACACATGGTGAGTTGATAATTTAGAGATTAACACTCTCACTCTGATCTCGAGTAACTAAAACGGATTTGTTTTAAATTGCATCTTTGTGATGCGTAAAGTCAAACAAATTCTGGGTGTGATGCTTGCGACACTGAGTTAAAAGTGTCGAATCTCTTCTTTAGTTCTTACCTTTCTTTTATTCTACTTTTCAGAGCAGCGGGTTTGACTTGAAAGCAGCCTCTCCCTACCATCACGCTCTCTTGGCTCGCAGCGGGGCTTTCTACCCTCCATACCGTCCGGGAGCAGCCGATGATCCCAGTAGGGTGGCCAAGGTGGCCACCCGAGAGAGTACCGGTGCGCTCAAGGCCTGGCTGAACGAACACCTGAAGAATCCGTATCCCACAAAGGGGGAAAAAATCATGCTCGCCATCATCACTAAAATGAGCCTCACGCAGGTCTCTACCTGGTTCGCCAACGCAAGGAGGCGCCTCAAGAAGGAAAACAGGGTCAGCTGGGCGTCAAAGGGCAAATCTGATGAGGAGGATGAGGAGCAAGAAGGGGAGAGCGATGAAGACGAGCAGAAGTGTCATTTGGATGAGCATGACGAGGCAGAGCCTCAAGCAGAGCGCACAGATACAGACGAGCAGGTCGAGAGCGCGTTGGATAGCGCGGGACCTTTGGATGCGCGTTTGGAGATACCGCGTCAGGAAGACAAAGAGCTCGGACTTGTCAAGAAGACAGAAAAGCGTGACTCTGACCGCACGCCATCAGTTTTGGAAAGTAAAGAAAACATCGCCAGTCCAAAACCCAAAATCTGGTCTTTGGCAGAGACCGCCACCTCAGAGACTGTGAAGAAACCTGTCGACAGTTTTTACCACCCTGCCGGAAAACTGTGGGAAGACTGGGCTTCAAGAAACGGACTGCTCGTTCCCTCCTGCTATACGACTCGCGAACTCGTCTAAGCCGGTGTTTGTGCACGAATAAAAAGGACACTTTCCCACAGCTTTTGCACTTTAAACTTTCAGACCTCAGGGATTTCCTGAAGTTTGCATTGAAACGAAAATGTGTCGTGAAACCAAAGAATGAACATGTTTGTGTTACTGTAAATAATGTAGATGTATTTTTCCACCAACAAACTGTAAATTATGTTTCCTTTGTCTAATCATGAAGAAATATTTTTTTGCTTAAATAAACTTCGACTTATGGCGAAATTCTGCAGTTTTACTGGTCTGTATCCCTACTTCTTGATATACTTTGCATACAGCTTTGAGCTTTTCCGATCACACTGATGACAGCCCACATTAACAGTCTGATAACAGGACCACATTAATCTATCACTTAGAGACTATGACATTAGACTAAGAATTCAAAGAGATTCAGGGAAAATTTACACATCAAAAACACGTCTATTGTGTCTTTCTCTATAAGTTTTTTGATAGAATATTGCAAGTTAATTCAATTAAACTTGATTTTTTTAAAAGAAAACAAACAAACTATCCCCTTCCTAAATATGGCACTTCCATTTCCTAAAACTTAACAGCAGCGGGGCTTAGGGTCTTCTAGAGGTTCTTAGTATCAATCACACCAGTTTCCATGTACATTCAAAAGGGACCTACCTCCATTAATCCACACATAATGAAAAAAGCTCCTGGGAGGAACTGGTCCGAAATGCCTTGTCTTCTGGCCTCAACTCTCTATGCAAATCCCTACAAACAGTAACGCACAGAGGCCAGATTAGCTCCAACCTGACTCCCAGATTTCTCACACAAGCGACACGAAATAAAATTGATATCATGTCATGAACCTTAAAATATTCGATACCGATAAATGTATGTCTGCTTTGGATATTTACAAAAGTTTTTTGCCTCATATTTCTAGTGTCGCACTAAAAAGTTACCGTTTGAACTTAAAAACTGAATTTTCAAAGTAGAGTAATCATCTGGCGCCTCTCTGTGGAAATCAAGAGCAATTACAGCACAGTTTAGTCTACTAACCTGCAGGGTTTTAACATAAAGTCATCACTGAGAAGAGAGCAGAGGTGAAAAGGACAAATGTACTCAGACACAGGTAAGAGGCAATTAAGGCTCTTTAAACTGTCAGCGATAAAACGCAATTCATGTTAGGACTAATTGCAAAGGCACAGCACAAACATTTTTAAATTAATTGTGACTTACACTTTCAAAGGAGAACGTAGGCTACCACGTCCATAAACCAATGCAGGAAACGGAAACAAGACGCTCCTTTCATCTCCGGAACTCGGTTGAAGACATCACGTTTTAATATTTTTATCAGCATCGTCACCATGAGTACATAGACCATGAAAGCCCACGGTTCAGCAACAAACAGTAACAACTAAGAACTAATTTGGCTACACGTAATACTACCCAGTTGTCAAAATGGCATGGTATAGCCCGCTGAACATTATACTTCCGGATCCCACAAAAGCATTATGGGAATTGTGGGAGGCTATGGTAACCAAGAGCAGGAAACAATGAACAAACTCATCTTATTAAATGTCACAAATTTTAATGCAGAAACGGTGAACAATATGCCATTTTCATGCTAAACGGCACAATTTTAGTACATGCAAATACTAACAAAGCATCTGTACAGAACAAATGAGATCACAACATCATATACAAGCTAACTGTAGGATGTAAGCATGCTCAGCATGGTGGTGTCCACTGTGGGGTGGTCTTCGCTGTTGTTTTGATCTTGATGGGAGTGGGATTGTGCTTACATAAACAACCCCACGGATTGTTATTTCCACATGTTGCATGTTTTCAAATTAAAAAAACAAACAAACAAAATGTACACGGTAACAGTAGCTAGTGGTCCATGTGACATGTCCATAGGAGCAGGACACCTGTCAATACTGTCTTGGACCCCCCCCCCCCACACCCACACACACAAACAAAAACAAAACAAAAAATAAACAATTCATAACTTAAAAATTGCAACCAACCTCAAAACTAATGCAGGTAAATCACACACTCTCTTTACACTTTATAATACATCTTACTTTACATTTTATTGTTAACATTTAGACTTATAGCTAGCTACTTTCGGCTGTTCACTTGCCACTAGGGGTCGCACTGGGCGCTTCATTTGGTGGAGTTTTAAATCGCATGTCCTTCCTAGCTGGAAACAAACCAGGGACGTTTTGTTTGCCGGATGATAACGTCTACACCACGTATATATAGTGTGTGTGTGTGTTTAGGTTTTTACAATTTAGTGCAAATGAAATGATTGTAACTTCATGTAAACATTCAAAATGAATTAGTAAGGAGACTAATTCATTGATTCTTATTCAGATCAGGTAATTATTTTTTAACTTTGTGCAGCACTTTGGACAATCTGTGTCGTTTTTTAAACTTGCTTGTAAAATTGATCCATTGACTGACTATCTTCTTGAGACTCAAACTGAGACTCCAGCTGAGACTCCTGACGAGACACGATTTCTTCTTTGCCTCTCTCTTGCATCACCTGGTTCCCTTTATCTGTGAATCCTTCTGAGGAGAGCTCATGGCTTAGTTCATCCTCATTTTCCTCTGGTGTCATTTGATTATTATACGTTGTTTCTTTATGGGCTGTTATGTCTTCTTCACACATCTGTGGTTCATAATAGTTCTGTCAGAGTTAAAGAAATAACAAACATTATAATAACGATAAAATCATTTTGATCAAGTCAACAGTTCTGGTGCTTTGCACATTTTTTCCTCTCACAGCAAAGCATGTACAACTTTATGCTATAGTTCCTGTGTTGAATTATGCAGTGCATTTCTCTGAAACATTGTCTAAAGGTGTGAAACAGGATTTAAGGTACATCAGAAATACAGACATGTCACACAATCAGCAGGATGTGTATATAAATCCACTGCAAACCTATTAAAAGGGACCGCACAAAATGACCCAAGCTGATTAAACTTGAGGACAAACCTCAGCACTCATTTAAAAGAACAGGCTTTCATTTTGTGCAACTGTTTCATTTCTTTCTTGCTCAAAGTTAAAATCCACATATCGCTTTCACGTGTGTACATAAAAAAAAAAAAACGTGTTGATTGCTGTTATATTTTTCTGGTCAGCATTAAAGATTAGCAACAAGCAGTCTTACATTGTGAAAAGCCTAAAAAAAAACCAAACAAATATTTATAGTTTAATTCTTTAATGTATGAAATTATTAAATTTTTAACAGATCCTTGTAGGTGCACCTCTTATGACTGGATTCATTAGCTGTTGCTTAGCTTAGCATAAAGCCTAGCTGTTTCTAGGCCTTATGCTAAACTAAGCTAATCTTTCAGAATCTAAGATATCATCTTTAGTTTACAGATGTACACTGGAGTGCTAAAGTAACATATCTGAAATAGTTTTAGAAATTGATTACCTGGTCAAAAGACACTAATTGATTCTAAATTCCATCATTTCAAATATATACAAACACACACACACACACACACACACACACACACACACACACACACACACACACACACACACAATATTGAACTGTTCGATACAGCGCTTTCGGTTCAGTACGCATATGTATCGAACAATACAAAATTTACATGTGTGTGTATATATATATATATATATATATATATATATATATGGTATCTTTTTACTGTCATTAAAAAGCATCTATGTAACAACAAATAAATACATTTAAAAAAGTCATATTTACCTTTGTCCTTTGTTTTATGCATCCTGCTTTACCGATTCATAAAAAAGAAGAAACACAGAATATAAGTACATAGGAAGATTATTATTATTTATTTGTTTAGAGCTTTAGAGCACAGCTTACCTCGATATACTAAAACCAGGATTACAACAGTGACCATAAAAACTGCAGATAAAATAGAGATGACGATTATGTGACCCCGCTGTGTCCCTGCTGGAAGAGAAAAAGAAATAAAAACACAGTTAAACATACATCGAGTTCTCTGATACTGTCTAGAACATGGGTATTTGTGCAGACAAAATGTAAAACAAAAGAGACTTTCATGTCAAACACGTAGTCACATTAAACAGGGGAAGCATAAATTCAGAAGCGTTGTGGAAAACTGAAAATAAATCATTAATTCAGTTGTAATTCTAACATTAGCAGTAAATTAGGAGACTGTGGAGTCTACACGTCGATACATAGTAAGTGAAAGCTGACAAAGCCACACTGAAAACCACAGACCAACTAAGGTTTATGAGACAAACCTTCTCACAGTTGACATAGTTTCGTTTTGAACAATGCACCGCATCCAACCACACAGCTGCACACGGCAGCAGCGAGAAAGGTGAGAAACCTTTGCAATTCATCTTCCTACATACAACTTACCACATGTGTTGTCGGTGGTGTGCGTTCCCTTTTCTTCAACTTGATATCCCTTTTCACATCTGCAATGAATTTCACAGTATTAGAGCAGAATTCCTGCCTCAGTGTTGCATTTGTTTTTCAATAATTCGTTATTGGTTTGTATTTCCACTTTGAATACCACTATTTTCATTTGATTTTGTTGCCCCTACACAAAGATTAAAGCTTATGTAAGTTACTGTATTTGGGCCCAATGAAAGGTAAGTACGCCAGAGGTCATATTTTGGTTTAACCAACTGGTTGTGTCATGAAACACAGTAAAAAAATCCCATCAGCTAGAAACACCCTTTTCTTCATTTACAGAATCTCCTTTTCAGTCAGACTCACACCTTTAATATATCACTGCTAAAGTTACACAAACTTAAGAAGCAAGTCAATACAATGCCTCAGATTCGCTTTATTTTTTCATGTTGACAGATTTAGACAAACACAGCTCTACAAGGTCTTCCTACATCAATAGTGAATAAACAATGGTCTCCGGGTGTCAATTACAAGCAGCATTTTCTATCATTGTCAGGAAAAATATAATCTATGGCACGGCTCTTCAGAAGAACTGAAACAACCACCTGATCCCTGTTTTTGAGAAGAAATTCCTGTACAAAATTCCAGATTTTGTGGCCAAACAGCTCACATCAGCTTTTTAAATTCATGATAAAAAATTAAGGTGTATAAATTGTTGTTAGTACAGTAACTTTGCGGAAGGAGCATATAACCCCAGATTTAGCCTGGTTCCCTGTTCCATACAGGATCCAATTTAAACTCTTACTTTTTTTTTTAAGTCACTTAACGGCTGAGCCCCTTCTTTTCTGTCTGAGCTCCTATTTATGCTCCAGAAAGAACCGTGAGGTCCAGGTCGAAACTAACCGTAACTATTCCACAGACTCAGTCTCGTGGCGACAGCCTTCTCTGTGGAATAGTCTGACTCTTAATATTAGATCAGCACAAACACAATCGTTACTAAAGACACATTTTTCATGGTCTGGCTTTTAACACACTTTGACCTAAACATTTTGGTTTTAACGGCCTTAGTTGTTTTTATTGACTTATCTCATCTACTTATTTGTTTTTTCTATATTTTACTGCATCGTTATTGATTTGCATTTTATTTGTTTTAGTGGTATTCTACATTGTTAAGCACTTTGTGCAGCATTGACTGTTTGGAAATGTGCTATATAAATAAACTTGACCTTGACCTATGGTGGATATTCTGCGGGACTATTTGTTGGCATAGTCACAGGAAGAAGGAAAAATATTCTTGAAACACATAACTAAATTCAGAAGGTGAACAAAGGCCCTTTTTCAAGTTTTTTTTTAATAAAGATCATCTCTAAGTTCACATGTTAATGTAAATGTGTACTTACTCTGTCCATTTGTGGCACTGAGCATACCACGACGCATTATTGTTAAATGTCCCGTCTGGACATTGTTCACACTCAGTGTCCTGTGAGTTGTTGCCTGAATATCAAAAATCATTTTCAAAAAATGAGACTCATTCGCATAATAAAAAACTTAAAACGAATTAAACAAATGTTCAGTCACGAGGATGTTGGTACCTATGACTTTAGCTCTATATCCTGGTTGACAGACTGTGTGTTCCACACAGGTAATACATTCTTCACTGGAGCAGTGGAATCCCACTTTACACTTGCAGATGGATCGCTCTGTCTTGCTTTTTGGGACTTGAGCCTCAAAGTTTTTATCTAAATGACAAAAAAGGTTTACGCTGTAAGGCGAGCAACATTAAAGAGAAGCCTCTCTCTGTCCCAGTATACACAGACACACTATATCGGAACAGTTTGAGGTAATTTGTCACAATTTCTTACTTCTATCACAGTAAGGCTGCTGCAGACACTTGTTTTTCGTTGTGTATTTATCCTGGTAGTGATTATCCAGACAAGGTTGACATTGAGGATTCTTACAATCTTCTGTAGACATGCTAGTCCCTGCAAAACAAGATATGCAGAGTTAGAATCAAGTATATTATTTGCAAGTATTTTGTTTATCCTGAGTAATTAGTAAATTGGGATTTCTGAGTTTAGGTAATCAATGGACCTTTTAGGGAAATATGACAAAGTCAAGTCAACTAGGTGATGGTTGGCTTATCTGGTTCTAACAAACCCTAACACCTTTTAATCAACACGTTATATTTGGTTTGTTTACATGCTTCACATTGTCTTTGGGATTACGAGGGCCCCTTTTCCCAGTAGCAATTACTAGGTTGTTTTTTCTATAAGCTACTCTATTCTGAGATGTTAAAATAGCAGGATCGCAACTTCTCAGTGTCTCTGCTGTCATCTTAAAATGTCTTTTGTGTTCCACCAAAAGTCCATAAAGCTGGAAGACACTCACACTGATAATAAATTAAAGAAGAGTAATTACTGTCGTTTGGAAATCTCAACCTAAAGTAATTCTCCTCAAAAAATGAATGAAAGGGTCTTTTGTCAAAATGTCTGCCTCCAGTGTAAGAAATCAACTGTTTCAGTTTCGCCTTCTTTTTATACGGACACATAGCACAAGACAGGAAAGATGAATTCTCACTTGGTGCAAATATTCAGTTTGTTTTAGGTGAGGGTGCTGCTAGTACAGACCATGAGTGAGGCATGACTAAAGGCAACAACTAGCTTGTTGGAAATGCACATTTGGCTATAATATGTATATCTTTTGAAATGTTTGATGTGCATGTTAGCCTTTTGACACACAGGTCCTGAGGAACATTTTCAGAGCTGAAATGCTTGTGTAAAAGCAGCCAAAATGAAAGCAAAAGCAAAGCTTTAGTAACAGTGATCATGCTGTCTGAAAAAGACAGTTGTCGACCACATGCTTCCTGCTGCTAGGTTTTTTCTTATACATGCTACTTTAAATGTTTATTACTTGAAAAAAGAAAGATTGGATGCTATTAGTGCAGTTATGCCTTCGATATGGCTCTTAATCTTGTATTTGTTGTTTATGTATCTGTCAAGTTCAATTTGGTGACAATATGTTATAAATAACAAGAAAGCAGATGTTTTATTTTAATTTCCTTCATAGGAAAAGTGTTTTCATACCTGGCTTACACATGAGACAGCACTGACCGTCCTTTTCATACTGTGTTTCTGGGTCACAGCTGGCCTGAGCAACAGTCATTCCCTGCAAAAGAAAAGCATTACATTTAAATAAGAGGTAGTTAGCCCTTGTGTGATCTCGAGTATCGGTTGAGTTTCTCTATGTTGATAATGTTAGATTCACTTCCTCAGGGTAGACTGCGAGGGGCGTGGTGGAAAGCCCCAAAGATTCAGCCAACTGTTAACTGCTTTAAATGCACGCAGCCAGGTGCACCGCTGTTCGTAACGTTACTAACAAATATTTGCAAATCGGGATTCACACAAGGTCACGTCTTTGTCCAAACCCTCCACTGCCGGGAAATCGAAAGTGAAAGCACCTCATGAAACGTAACTGTAGCATTAGGTTTTGACTTTACAGGGAAAAAGCAGGATTTTGACAATAATATAACACAGTAAAGTAACAGATGGATACGATAATTAGCACACATTATAGCGTATAATAACACGTTAAGAAGAAATAATCTGAAATCGTGCTACTTTAAGTTGTCGCAGGTCAAAACCGATCCCTGTAAAAACAAAAACAGCATTAATCGGTTTACTCACCATGAAAGACCCGATCAGTATAAGCAGCGCTATAAACTTAAAATACATTTTGAATAGCGTCGAGTACAACAGCGCACACCTCTGTAAGTGTTCACAGTCTGTCTGTGAACTTATTTAGGCGACGTGTTCTGTTTATACGGTGTGGGAGGAGCTACGCGCGGTGCTTTTCCTTGACCGTTTCCTGTAAAAGCACGTGAAGCTTGTACTCCTCTTCAGCTATTTTCTAAAATACCCAGAAGTAGTACTAAATCCTCTTTAAATAGAATTCCTCTGCGACAAAGCGTTGTTTCACACAACAGGAAGCACGCTTGACTGGCACATTGTTTGCACAAATAAAGAGTGGGTCTTTTTCTGATGGAGTAAGAAGAGCTACTCTGCTGCTTTACTCCAGTAGTAGTATTAAGTATGTCTGAGGACGAACTAAGGCAGTTCTGAAAGTAAAAGTAGGTCCGACCCAGTGAAATCATAGCACGCCTCACCAAACCCCTTAGAAATAACGGAAAGAAATTAAAAAGCACAGTGTATTGGAAAGTCACCCATCTTTGCATGTAGAGGTTTGTAGCAATCTTTATTATTTTAAAAGCTTGCTACTCCTGGCATTTAAACATTGTTCACAGCTGTGTGCTAATCCCCACCAAGAACAGCAGTGCATTTTATGATATTTGGATTTTTGGTGATGCTGCTTTAGACTCAGATTGCCATGTGACTTCTGAGCATTTCTTCTCCAGTTATGTATTTATATACCAATACTGCTTTGAATTTTGTCTTCTCTCTCCCACACTTTGCATCTGTTCTCTCTGTCTTTCCCTTCACCCGTTGCAGCACATGGCAGTCCCTGCTTGAGCCAGATTTGGTTTTGTTTTGGGGGGATTTTTTTTTCCCTGTTAAAATGATGTTTTTCCTGTTTAAAGGGATCATCTAATTGTTGGGGGTTTCTCTGTAGGGTCTTTACCTTTGCCTGTCTATATATCATATATAGACTGTAACAAATTTCCCTTTTAAATTACAACAAAGTGGCTGCAACTTTATTTCCAGTTTTTGATTTCTTTTTTACAGCCTAACTGTTAGAAGTACTGTTTCTTATTCTTGAGGCTCATTAGGCAGAAAGTACTGTTCTATTATGCAGCAGCTGGCTGTTTTTGGCATCAGCTTTTCTGTGTATGTACAGCCATTTGTAACAGGATCTGTACAACCCCCAAAAACTCATGTCTAGGATTCATGTGGCTGGGATCTATTCACAGACGTACAGGTGTTACCATTACCTTTTCATTTGTGTATTACCTGTGTATAACTCTCCTTAAAATCAGTGCTAATAGACAAATGATGCACCAGTCAAGCTCAGTCATATTGCAATCACTGAGTCATTTGCAGGGGGTGATACATTTTGGGTTAAAGCAGTTGCTTTTAGTTTGTTTTGGTCTGCATTTTATAGCTTTGAATCTTCCAGCATTTAGGGTGGGTTGCATTCCTGCCCTGGCTCTCAGTGCGGTGCCAAGGTTTGGTCAATCAGAAGTGGTAGATGACACACTCGTCTGCTTTTACTACCCTCTGCAGATCATTCCAGGTTTCTGCTCTACAACCACTGTGATGATGGCTACTAATTATCAGTTGTTGCAGGGAGGTGGTCCTGTTTGAGAATTCCCAGGAAGAAGAGTTTCTGCTCGGCCTTTTTTTTTTACCTAATGGGAGATGTTTTTTTGATGAGGTGATATCATAGGTGTGATGCGAGAAACATGTTGCACTTAAATCTCTCAATTTGCCCACCATGTTTACAGATAGCAGACACACCTTGATATTTTGAAGTGAATTACCATCTTTTTTTTCTTTCTTTTTTTGAGATGTTAAGGTCCAGGTTGTTATAGGAACACCACTCCACCAGTCTTTATTAAAGCTTTATTTTAGGTAGCACAAAGTGGAAAAAAAAACATGTACATTTTTATTGAAAGATCTGTATTTTATAAATCTTTCAAAAATGCAATAATTTAAAAAAAAGTATTGATGTCTCATATATGACTTCCTGTCCTGATGTTGGCATGTGCAATGTCCTTACAACTGTTTCACACAACGTAATAACAGTACTTTCAGATGAGCACCTCAGATTTTCGGTGATTTCCAGGACACTTTCCACTCCAGGTGAATACAAAAACAGACTTCTATCACATTCTGAATATTAATAATCGGCACGTTGAAGCTCAAACACTCTTTATATGTTATACATATGATGCATGTGTTACATATAAGCCACATGTATGGTACTGTTTTACTCATAGTAGTCATGCAGTATTTTGAAATGACGAGATTATTATTGTAAGGAAATAATAATGATTATTAATGGACTTTAAGCACTTTATATTTATCTAACAAAAGTGGAAAGTACAATGACTTTTGTTGTTTTGTTCGTTTTTGACCACACCTCCTCTGTGATAGTTTCTTAAACCCACCACACCACCACCAGGGATTTCCCTATAAGAGTTTCGTGAGCGGGCTTTCCCCAATGCAGCTGCTGTTGAACATTGTTTGTCTTAAAAGGCTGCTTTTCTCTTATATATAGATGTAAAATATTTATATGTAACGTTTTTAAAATATCTATGACCAACGCGAGCTGCTTCTTCGCCAAATCGAATGAAACAGCAGCAGGTGTTACATTCTGTTGCGCTATACTCTTGCAATTACGGTACAGGTACCGTAAGCAGCCAAAAATCATTGCGACGTCACCACGTCACAGCACTGCGGTTTTAGGAAATTCCAGTACAGATTCCCTTTCAGTGTCCTGCTTTGTTCCCATTTTAAAAATGTCACCACTGTCCTGTAAATTTCTGAGGAATATGAACAGATTAACATTAACAAAACTAAATCTGGAATTTTTTGAAAGGTACTTTTTTTTTCTTCTTCTTTTTTTTTTTTTACCCCATTTAGCTAACTCGTTTCACAGATTTCAGATTTACTAATCACAGAATATCTATCCATAGCAAAAAAGTACTTCTCATGAATTATACTTTAAGATACTATAACTTGAAGGCGTTGCCCCCTTTTTTCCTATTTAAATGCACGGGGATTTGTGTGCCTAGAAAAAATCCCTGTACTTGCGCAAACTAATCATGTTCTGTATTCTAAATAGCCTGTTTCACTGGTGAAGTGATGAAGGTCTAGATACTGTCTTATCTATTTTGCCATTTATCCATTTATCTGTTTTGAAGCTTTTTTTCCTCTCCTAAACTGACTATAATGGATTTTCTTCATAAAACTTTGTTGTAGATAAAGTCGATGAGATGAACTTCATTACTTACAGTTTTTTTTAGTGTGAGTATACTTTCAGCTATCAATTAAAAAAGTAAATATGCAGTAAAATAACTCTATTGTACACTAGCTCTCAGATAAGTAATTTGTACACAATACATACAATACAATAACTTTATTACATTATTTCTGATCATTTCATGGTCAGAAAAAAAGGTGCATGCATGAAGTTAGGCTTATGGTCTCTGGGTATGAATGTGAGATAGCTGTCTACCTCTGTATGTTTATCCTGTGACAGATTGGTGACCTCTCCAGGGTGCTGTTACGCCCCAGTCTAGGGGTACAGGAACATAACATAAGAGTTGAAAAGATTGACCCCGCCCTGGTCCCCAAAACCATACACAGAGGAGAAACGATTTCTTAGTGAACAGTGGTTTATTGTTTAAACTGAAGCGTGACTCCGGGGTGAACAAAGGCCAACATAACAAACAAAACCAGCTTAATCAGTAAAGGAGGTGCTACCTAAACCCTACGTGATGAAAAGAACAAACAAAAGACAAATGCCACACCTAACTCCCTAACTGAATAAACAAGAGGAAACAATACAGAAAACAACAAGGCAGCTCACCCCTTCGGCTTCAGTGACTATTTACAAGAGAAGGCTGATTTACACACTATATACAAGCTCGATAGGTCACGAGAATCACAAATATCACAGAGTTTTGAGGCCAGGGTCAGGTCTGCTGCTGCTGTTAGTTGCTGCCCTGGGACAACTGCTGTTGAGGGATTTTGAAAGCAACCACATGAATAGGGGACCAATTAGCAGCCATCAGCTAATCCAATCAGGGACCTGCAGAGACTAAAGACACAGAACAAGAAACAGCCACCAAGACACATTATGGCCAGGGCCATGACAAGTGCACCTGCCTTTCACCCTGTGATAGCTGAGACCGACTCCAGTCCCCTCCCTGTGACCCTGAACTGGATAAAAGGAGGAAACTGGATGAACAATGGATGAAAAAAACGACACCAAAAAAACATAGCAATAGATTTATGAAGATTAAAACAATAAAAAAAGGAACTTCTCAGATGCAATCTCTATGAAAAGGAACTACAAAAAGAAAATGGTACAAAATGACATAAAATTGATGTACACAGCAAATAAACAGTACTCAAAGTTAGCTTTTAAAACTACAGTATAATGTATGCAGTGCAAAAAACACAATAATCATGTACTCAATGAACATGTGTACATAAAGACATGTGTACATAAAGACATGTGTACAAACCTATGCAGGAAAAACACCTCACACTATGAATCCCAACCAGATGTTTACAGTCTTTGCACTGTGTGATTTGGAACTGTAAAGTTTTAAATCCTGTACATCTCATAATATTTTAACTTTTAAATTAATGAATACATATTTTCAAACCTATGCTATAATAATTCAAACAAAGTAATTCTTTCTTTGAAAAAAGGAGATACATTTTTAGTACTTTTATTGCATTTCATATGAACACTCAAAATTATGGGTTCCCTCGCACTCTCCAATGGATAGAAAAAACAACAGAAGAGGTAAAACCATGTCCTGCCAGTTAAGACATGTAACCTGCCTGGAAATGTATGCTACTTGGAGATAAAGTCTTTGCGCTGGCTGCTGTAGGTGTGGCTAAACAACCTAAGCAGGAACAAATTTAGCCTGCGTTGAAAGTGGGCGGTGGTAGAAGGAATCCTACAAATCATAGCACATTTCTTTTTTCCCCGCAGTCGTCAAGTATACCTCTGTTTAGGCTGCATGACAAACAAAACAAGACACAATACTGTGAATCTATATTTGCAGTAAAGGAGAAACGTCTTGCTGAAGTGAGAAACTGTGTAGCATTTTGTAGATAATCTAAACCAGCTAGGATGCCAACTTTAGGATCAAAGAGAAAAGACAACCCACCCAGGATGGAGAAGTACACTGGGGGCATGCCACAGGTAAGAATCAGCTTATGAATTAAGGAAGTGCCAAGCTCTTTCTGCAGATGAGTCATTAAATAACAACAGCTTTACTGTAATAGTGATTCTACAGAATAGCTGCCTTGCTTTCACTAACGTCACATGTGCAGGTCCACAGCAAGAGCAGACAATTCTCTGTTTTAGCACACCAGTGTCTCTTTAGCATTTTACTTCCTCAATTTTACTTGACTTCCTTTTTGATAGAAATTTCCCAAAGATAGGAGCAGACATTACTCAGAAGTGTGAAAGTATGTTCCTGGAATAGACCTTTTAAATGGTTTCTGATAATGTTACAACACAATGGCTTATCAGTGTGGTTAGACAGACAGATGTTGGCATTGCTCATACTGCGATGCTGAGAAATCAGTGCCATCTTTATGAAAATCTAAAGGAAAACTTAAGCAGTGCACCTGTGGATAGTGCTTATGGTGAGAGCGTGACAGCTCTTTGCTGTGATATTAAATAATTTATTTTTCTGTGGTTTTTCAATATTGTCACTTTTTTAAAATATGAAGAAATAAATCACACACAGAATGCTTGTTTTGAGATTGGGATGACCTTTGAAATGTGGGTGAAAAAGGAAAGAAAATCAACCAGACAAAGATAAAGTCTTCATCTATTTACATTTTTATGTTTTCAGTTGAGCAATGAGATGCAACTAGACATCCTGAACAAGGTGAAGAGTGGACAGTTATCAATCGATGACGCTCTGCAGCAGGCAAGGATGGACAGAGAACAGAAGATGACAGATGACAAGGTAACCCTCATTTTTCCTAAGCAGGTACACGATTTTCATGGTGACTTCAGTTTGAGTGTGACATGGGTGTGGTTTCAATGTTGAAAACTCAAAAAATTAAAAAGAAAGAAGAAAAAAAAGGGATCTTGTGGATAGAATTTGCATTGTTTTGTATTATGAGTCATGTGAAACAAGCTTTGACCATAATGCAGTAGCATAACACAACACAAGATACCGTAAACAGGATCTGGGGTTCCCCATGTGTCCAGACCACCAGTATGTGACGAGATGGAGAGTGAAACCTGCAGGTTTTCAGTTTTCCCTGAAAGTGTTTAAATACACATTCTACGTAGATGTGTAGTTTTATTTCATGTGCTCAAAACTAAACAGTTCCAGATGAGTGGGGGATTAAGTGGAGTGTGTCATAGTTAAAGCTAAAGAAAAATGACAGTCAGTTGGGAATTTAAAGTAAACTTTCCAGGTTGTTGCTCCGTTTATATTAAGTGTATAATTTCATAAGTGGTTTTTTTAATAGCACAGATAAAGCTTAAATTCTCACAAATATTACAAGAAGTAAACGATCCATTCAAGACACCCAGATATGGTTTAAAAGCAAACCCAAAATGGACTGTCTAATGTCTAATTCACCCTCTAATGTCTCTTCTTCCTGGATAATACCGTATGAGTGGACAACAGAACGAACAATATTCCATGTAAGAATCAAATTATAAACACCAGCCCTTAAGCTACTGATCTAACTAACTAACTAAACTGTTATAGTCGACATGTCCCTGCAAATAACCAACATGCGACAGACACAGGTAAAGGAATGTAATTTGTATGTAGATATACCACCAGAAACTTTGCAGATGGCTTTAAAAGTCTGATGCTGGAGTTAACCTGACTTTAAAAAATATAGTACTGCATCTTCTTCTGCTATTTATAAACGTTGTTTTGCTAATAAGCTGCAAAGCCTGCTGGATCAGTTCAAACACAATTTTGTGGAAGGTAGTCCAAGGGTTTAGGAAGAAACAATAATGCAGTGTCCTTGTGTAATCCAGTATAGTGTAATCTAGTGGTTCTACATTGTCCTTAAGTGGTGATTTCCCTCTAAGTATTCATATATGTAATGTTGTTTATTGGTTGTTTTTGCAGGAACTAGAATCTCAGTACAACTTTAGCGTTTACAAGCATGGCCGCTACAGGTGGCAGAAACGGGTTTTACAGGTGAGTTCAAAACAAAAGCAAAAAACTCGCTGTAGGCATCCAATTGCATAACAAATGAAACAGGAATGTAGACCATGACCTCAGGCTTCAGGCTGCTCTTAGCTCTCTGAGGTGACAGAGCAACCCTTAACATGGTCAGCTGCGTGCTCTGGCTGTACTCCACCCACCTGTTGTTGCGAGGCACCAGAGAAGGAAGAAGAAGATGAAGAAGGATTATTTTACTCTTTGAAACATGCAAAGCTCCTCTGGCAGAGTGCAGTAGTAAAAAATTTAACAGGCAATCCATATAAATGTAGAGGCCGAGGATTCTGCAAGTTCCAGATTCTCTCTTTCACACACAAAAATGTTAGCATTGCTAACTAGCACTAAAGATAAAGTCAGGCTGGGCTGATGGGAATTGTACTTGTCGATTTGTGTAATCTAATGTAATGACCAAATTAGATTTTTTACATCACGATGGTACATTACTGAAAGCAGATTAATCACCAAAGCGAGGCAGTAATAAATGTTTTAATGCCACACAGTGCACACTTCAGACATGCTCATTTAATCACTCACATTGTGAACATCCAGATTGATTTCAGGACCAAAATGGTGTGCAGCATAGAGAAAGGAATCGTTAAGCGGCAACTTCCCTTCTCTATTGTCAAGAGTTGTGATGATGGAGAGGGTTCCAGGTACTCTATTTCCTTTAAAGGACATCATGATTATGAATTGGAGGCCACGTCGCTGGAGGATAAACATAAGGTGACAATAAGATTGTTTCACCGAGGCAATTTCTGCTGAGATTTACTGAGATGTGATTATTGCTCTTTGAATTTAGACTCTTGATTGCAAACACTTAAGCTATAAAAATAAATGCAAAACAGCCTTGCTTTTACTTTTATACCATTTCATATCATTCATTGATGGTTTCACAGTGACTCTTTTCATTCTCGTGATTCTCTCTTTCGAGCAGATGATGGAGCTTGTCAATAAGATAATTTATAATAACATATACAATGATCATGGAGAAGAAAATGCAGAATCCCAAGAGCAATCTCAGGCACCACAGAGCATTCGAGAAGGGATGTTGTTGCTGCACAGAGGAGGCTTGGCATCATTTAAATGGATGAAGTATGTATGTCCGCTTATTATTGAAGCATTGCTCTCACAAAACAGCCACAGGACAGTTTTGACAGTTTTGTTAGTCATGAGAAGTTATTTGTCAGTAATATTTGACGGCTACTAGTGTAGAAGCCTCAGTTGATGGTGCCTGAAGCATCTCAAGTGGAAACCCAGCGTTTAACGATGTTCATGGGCTCCAATTGACTCCAAAGAATTTTCATTCAAGTATTTAAAAAATCCTCATAATAATAATTATGTGAGTTTGGACAAGTACCTTTGAGCCTTCAAAAGAGGGGGACTTTGTATAAGTACACTATGTGTCATTGTCAAAGTTATGGACATAACTGTATATGTGTGGCGAGGCGTGATTGCAGATGCCGCTCAGGTGCGTCCGCCTCCCCTACAGCGGCACCACAGGCCACGCCCCACCACTTTATTTTAATAATAATAATGGATTCTTTATTGATCCCCATGGGGAAATTACTTGTTTTTCTCTGCATTTGACCCATTCACTCAGTGAAGCAGTGGGCAGCCCACTAAGCAGGCGCCCGGGGAGCAGTGTGTAGGGACGGTACCTTGCTCAGGGGTACCTCAGGGTAGCCGTTAAGTGGATTCGAACCGCCGACCTTCCGATCATGGGGCGACCACTTTACCTACTGAGCTATCCCTGCCCCTAATTTTATGGAATAAAATCAATGTACTGCATAATTGATCCCTTTTAATAAACTTTGAATCCTTGTAGCTCATGCTACAAGCTAATTCTAGGATAGTTTTGAGTTTCTTAAGTTTACTTGAGTTTTATTTCAGTTTTACAGTCATACAAAATGATTACAGTATTTCTGAACCCCGAAATGTTTATCCAACCAATTCTAGTCCACAATCCTCCATTCCCCATTGCCCAAGAACGTTGGATCACTGCATATGTAAATAAAGTTTAATCAAAATCATATTTGCAATTGCCTTCCTCTGCCCTACAGCAGAGGAATGAAAAACGAATCCTTTTGTGCCAGAGTCAGCGCATTCAATTAATCTAGGAATAAGGAGAACATATTCATTACCAGAGAGCAGTTTTAAGTACATTCCTGAAAAATGCTTTCATTTTGATTGCTGATGGAAAATTGATACAATCTTTGAGCCAGGTGTTACATTAACTCGCTTCTTTTCTCGAAAGCCTCTTATCTGTTATCTTCAGTTAGAAAAGTTCCTCTAACTGAACCTTTCCTGGATTTGAGCCTACAACTGGCTCCTCCTCTATGTTTCTTCATACTTGACCCATTACTATAAGGTATTAGCAGTGAAGTAGTAGGCAGATGAGCTTATCTTAGAATACATCCAGTATTTTATATTTCTAGCTGCTGTTTTATATTTTTTACATTTCTATTTCTTCCAAAACAGTAGACACCGGTAAATTGCATACATTATGATATATCTAAAGCTTACACTAAACATGACTCCTCCATTTTATTCCAGATACGAGGCCCGGCTCCATCCAGGACAACTAACGCTGGTCCCGTTGAGGGATGGGGAGATGATACTCTCGGTGCCTGTTTCCACTGTGATTCACCTGTCAGACGGTGACACCAGAGTGCAGAAATGTAACGACTCTGACACTTTCAGTCTAATCACCCACAAAAATGAGTACCAGTGAGTGAGTTTTATTAAGATGTGGAAATATAACAAAAGCAAGCAGCTAATGAACTCTGTCACACCAGCTGTATTTGTTTGTGGGGTGACTGTGGCGCTGGGGGTTGGGAAGCGCATCTGTAACCGGAAGGTTGCCGGTTTGATCCCGATGGCACGATATGGCAGCCTCACTTCTGTCAGTCTGCCCCAGAGCAGCTGTGGTTACAACTGTAGCTGCCTCCACCAGTATGTGAGAGTGAATGAATAATGGAATTGTAAAGCGCTTAGATAATTAATTATCTGCCTTGCACAATCAGAATCAGAATACTTTATTCATCCCGAGGGAAATTAGTGGGTATTCTCGATCAAAAGTCTATTTGTGTAATGTGTTCATTTTTACTGTAACAGTTTGAGTGATAATATCATAAAAGGAGTCTGGGACTGGCAGAAGGCAGCACGGTGGCATGGTGGTTAGCACTGTTGCCGCACAGCACGAAGGTCCTGAGTTCAATTCCCACATCAGGCCGGGGTCTTTCTGGAGTTTGCATGTTCTCCCCGTGTTTGCGTGGGTTCCCTCCGGGTACTCCGGCTTCCTCCCACCGTCTAAAGACATGCAGCTTGTGGGGATAGGTTAATTGGATAATCCAAATTGTCACTAGGTGTGAATGTGCGAATGGTTGTCTGTCCCTGTGTGTTGGCCCTGCGACAGACTGGCGACCTGTCCAGGGTGTACCCCGCCTCTCGCCCTATGACAGCTGGGATAGGCTCCAGCGCCCCCCGCGACCCTGAAAAGGATAAGCGGAAGCGAATGGATGGATGGATGGATGGAGTCTGGGACTGTTAATTACCACACTTTTGTCATCTAAATAAGAAATGCTAGTTAGGTTTTGCTTATTTATTGCAGGTTCAAGGTGCCAGATGAAACAGTTGCCCTGGGGACTGTGCAACAGGAACGGGATGCATGGGTCAAAGCTATTGACAAACTGTGTTCAGAGTGGAAAAGGAAGTCCAAGATGTTCATGGAACAAAAGTCCTTTCGACAAGTGAGCATAACCGAAGACACAGAGGACAACGATACAGATCTCGAGTCCAGTGGTGAATTCGGTGCTGGCAGCATCACTTATCCTCCAGCTGATAATAAAAATGTTGATCCACCCCTGAGTGATGGAGATAATTTATCAGCTCAGCAAACCCATCCACCAGCTGATCACACAAAGCCTATTCCTAAACCTCGCAGGAGGAATTCTCCCCAAATAATCCCACCTCAGGTCTCATTACTGCCCTCTCCCAGTCCGACATCTCCCACCTCCCCTCCATACAGTCTCCGTGCTATCCTTCAGCCCCCTCCCGCAGTCCCAGAGTCTCCTGCCCAAGAGGCAGGGCCTCCCCCCCGAAGCATCCCAGCTCCTCCACCTTTACCCCTCAACCTAAATTCAAAAAAAGCATGCACCAAGGTTTTCCACTGGGATCTTATTGGCCCAGACAAGGTAAAACTGTCTCCATTCATTACAAGTCATTGAATTATCATATTTTCAGAGCCAAGTATAGCACTTACAAAGGCTCCCATTAGTGTGAGTCTTTCATATTTAAATGACATGTTTTATTGTTTCGGCAAAAACAGAAAGGTCAGTTTCAGCTTGTTTTTTTCTTCATTATTGCTGCGAATTGTTCTTTGTTTTGTCTGTCAGTTATTTCTTTCAAGTGCTGTTCTTTTGTAATATTAACATTGATTTCCTCATAAAATTAAATTGTTGCAGTACTGAATTCATTTGTTTGTTGGCAGATTGCAAAATCGTTCTGGATACAGGAACGCATGGGGAGGATTGAAATCGACACATCACTCTTACACAAGCAATTTGCTGTTAAAGATCTTCGGACAGTTGGTGTCGTTGAGCCAAATAATACCCAGCATATTATGCTGAACCAGAAGATTGCACACAACTTCAGTGAGTACAATAAATATGTCTATGACTTTTGACGTGAAGCTGCTCATAAATATTGCCAACAGAAACATATAATTTTCAGCATTTTAAGAAGAAGATTAGATTTCCTCTGCAAAATAATAAGTATAATTTCCAAGCTGTAATGAAAAGCCATTCTTCCGGATTAAGTCAAATAAAGGAGCTTATTTCTCCAGTGAATTAGAAATGAGAACATGTGTTTACACAACCACCAGAGGGAAGCACTACACAGAGAGAGCAGCTTCTCTGCAGAAACAGCATTATTGTCAGGAGGTCCTTTGAATTTTTAATAAATTCGATTTTTATGCCCAGTTAAGAGAAAGCTGACCTGACAACTTTCTTTCAGGGTTAAAAATGCTGCCAGTATTCTCTCTTCAAACAATAGTTGAGACACATTTTGTGCAAAGCACATATATGATTTGTATTTGTGTCTGCAGGGGGCAGTATGTCACCAATCCAGCAGTGACATGACTGTCCATGGACTCTGCAGAGTGATTGTGGACTGGAACATATTCTATTTCTCATCTAATGGCCTTTCACTTTTGATTAACTGAGTGTATGTGGCTTGTATATTTCAAGAGCCATGCCAGGGGAGAACATTTCAGAAGCTTCCTCTCACAGGTCCTCCGAGTAGCACAGTTACCGTGAACCGATACAGATGTGGTGGTGGGCTGCTAAATGGAATCAGCATGAATGTGCAGACTGGCAACATAATTAGAGTTCACATATTCATAAAATATGGATAGGGGATCTGAGCGACAACGGCAGTGATTTCCTGCCTTGATACAGAATACTGTATCAAGGGCTCCTCCCTGACCTGGAAACTTTGATTCTGTCAGGCGCAGGAGCTGAGAGATGAGAGCCCGAAGGCAACTCAAGGCCATGCATCTTTTTGCTGCTAGCTTTAAAAACATTTGAAGAACAAGGAAAAGCATCTTCCTTTCAGTTCCTATTTATTTGGTCCTATTAATACCACTATTGAAAGTGTCATTTTTAATACAAAAAATTAAAAAGTTCAAAATGTCACTTAAGTGAAAGGCGATAAGTATATTCCCAGGAAAGAAAAGTGGTTGTGCATGTGTGTTTTAGTTTTCTGTTACTGGATTATAGTTATTAATACAACTATGTATAAGTGTAGAATCTATATGAAAGACTGCTGTAGCCTTCATGATGTTGCATATTGGTTTGTGAAGCCTTGATTTGAAACTGTCACCAGAAGTGAGCACATATGGAGAGGAGAGTGAAATGCTAACTATAGCAAGCTTGTCTGTAAGATAGACACAGATACCTGCTAATTAGTGCTAATCAGTTTTGGTCAAGCTACTTTGAAAAAGTAATTAGTTATAGTTGCCTGTTACTTCTTCCAAAAAGTAACTTGTTACAAATGAGTTACAATATTATAAAAGTAACTAATTACCAGGAAAAGTAACTTTAAAAAAAGTTTAAATATGGAAAATAATTTTGATCCCATCTTAAGTAAAATACTAAAATATAAATTAGTAAATATACTTGAAAATACTAAAGTGCATATTCAATTGTTTATTATAAAACTGAATATATAATTAAATAAATGGGCCCTTTAGTCGAAGGAACTAACAGCAAACACTAAACACTAAAGTACTGGGTATCTACGTATTTGGAAAAAGTCTTTCTGCTTGGTGGGCCTACCCCTCCTTGGCCGGTATCTTGGCAATAAGAGACTTAAAGAAATTTGACTAGACTGTTGACAAAGGCAGCATCAGTCTTTTTAACTCAGTCTGTGCTACAGATGTTTGCGGAGAAGAGAAACCAAGCTTAGACTGTTAGATGGCGTCGCTCCATTTCTGTTATTTGCTGAGCTCACGATAGCCTCACCTGGGTTTGGTCTGCGCCTGCTAGCATCAACACCGTCGTTATTGGTGACCAGCTTTGTTGCAGCTTTGACATTGAGAGGTGCAACAAAAGTAGTCGAATTGCTTACAGCTGATGTGGAAAAGCATTTTGTTCCAGGACATAAATCCCATTTCACATAGAGATTCTTGACGTTTCTCTCTTTGAGAGAAAAATAATGCTAAATTTGAATTAACTGGGATCTCCATGACTGTGCCTCTGTCTGTATATGTTTGTATGTGAACACTCGCCCAAGTCTACCTCTGGTTGGTTTACCATGACTACTTCACTTCATCAGCAGCACTCATGCAATTGTTCCCCCCCCCCCAGCTCCCAGTAGGAGGAAGACAGCTTCAACCCATTGTGTGCTAAAAAATAGTCATGTGTAAAGATAACGGCATTGTAATAATAGAAAAAGTAATTAGTTAGATTACCCATTACTGAAAAATGTAATGTCGTTTATTTTAATGCCATTATTCCCATCACTGGTAGCCAGTATGGTAACCACTGATCTATCAATCCCTCTATTTTCTGTGCAGTTTAAGCAGAGATGCCCCACATAATTACCTGAAAAACAGTTGAGAGGTACAGTTCAGTAAATACACTATGAAACTTTATTAGATGCACATTATTAGGGTTGGACTTCCCGTTACCTGAAGATCTGCATAGATTCGACAAGGTTGCTGGAAACATTCCTCAGACATTTTGGCCCATATTTACATGATAGCATCACACAGTGGCTGCAGGTTTGTCAGCTGCACATCGATAATGTGATCCATCACATCATGAAGTGCTCTATCAGACTGAGATCTGGCAACTGTAGACAGCATTTGAATGCAGTGAACTCACTGCCATGCTCAAGAAACCAGTTTGATGTTATCTAAGCTTGGTAATGTGTATCATCTTGCTGGAAGCAGACATTGGAAGATAGGTACATGTTACCATAAAGGAATGGGCATGATCAGCAACATTCCTAGTGTGGTGGTTAAACATTTCTTGGTTGGTACTAAAGAGTCCAGAGTGTGCTAAGAAAATGTCTCCCACACTATTACACTGCCACTAACAGCCTAACTTTCGATTCTATAATCTAGTAATTGGAAGGTTGGTGGTTCGATCCCTGACTGCTTCAGTCTGCATGCTTAAGTCAATGGATCCAAGATTTCCTGCCGTTTACACAAAATTCAAACCTTCCCAGGCATCTTATTTTGTCCGGTTTAGGTGAGTCTATGTTAGCTGTAACCTCTGTTCCCTGTTCTTAGCTGACTGGTGTGGTCTTGTGCTGTTGTAGCCCATCTGCTTCAAGGTTCGACGTGTTGTTTGTTCAAGGATGCTCTTCTGCATATTTATGTTGTACCGAGTGGTTATTTTAGTTACTGTTGCCTTTTTAACAGCTCAAAGCACTCTGGCCATTTTCCTCTGACCTCTAGCAGGAACAAGGTATTTTCTCCTTGATAACTGCTGCTCACTGGATATTTCCTGCTTTTCAGACCATTCTCCAACAGCTATGCCATATTTAAAGTCACTTAAATCACCTTTTATCCCCACTCTGAAGCTCAGTTTGAACTTCAGCAGGTCATCTGGGCTAAATGCATTTAGTTGCTGATTGTGCAAAATTTTAACCTTTATAAAATTCTAAAGGGTGACTTAAAAAAAAATCACCAATTTTTATTTGGTAAATGAAATGTAAGAATAAACGTGTTTATGTAACTGCAAAACATCATTTTTTGTGCTGTAACTTTGGTTTCAGTTTTATGACTTGGCTTTGGCTTCATCTCACAACACTGGATGTTGTGGCTCATCTGTAAATAGTATTTTATGGTCGCAGTGGGCCACGGTGGAGCCAAATTTGACACTTTGGATCTATATCAATGCATTTAAATTATTGTATTGTGTAAGCCTAACATCTGAACTGCAGTGATATATGAGTAACATAAAATGCTAATACCGAAGAAAGAGCATCTTGAGAAGTAATGGTTAATTACCTTTGCTGCACTGCTGCATTTTGTATCTGACTTTGAGGCAAATTTTAAACACTGAGTTTTGTTTTTGTAATTTAGAACAGACTTAGTCCAGAGGTGATTTCTGCCTGTTTAAAAACACATGATCTCCACCCAGATACATAAAACGGAATAATTTGGGAATCAGACTCCTCTTTCCTTCTGTCCCTCTCTATCCCATAGCACCCGTCCCTGCCGCCCCCGACACACATGCACACATAAGCGACATGCCCCTCCCACTCTTGTTTGCATGCTTATCACCTGCCTAAATTCATGCTGTTTATTCGTCTCATATCTCATTTTTCGCCACACTATTTATTCATCTGATCCCATTAAACTGGGAGCCAGTGTGCATGCAAAGTCTCACTTTCTTTTTACAAAGCCAGGAACACCTCACCTCAGTAGACAGTGAGACTCCACCTCAATATAATAACATCACAGATATGTGATCAATAATTAATTAACAAACCCAGAAGTGATAATTAGCATCAGACATACATTGGCTCCCTTACTGTATCCACAGTGTCTTTAAAAACAGTGCAGTTACGCACTGAGGCAGATGGAACTAGACAGCTTGAGCAGTTGTGTTACTATTGTTTTGTGTTTTTGAGGGGTTTAATATGGTAATCAGCATGATCCTTATGGGCAAGCTGGAACATCAGCTGCATCAAGCGTGCATAGAACAATGCTGCATTGATCTGTGTACTTGTGCACTGCATTTAAGTACTCTACAGAAATTCAGTAGACCCTTCACAGCAAGATTGCAGCTCATATTGATTTTTTTTGCATTCTTTTGAAAACTATCTTTAGAGCACATGAAGGACGCTGATACAAGGTTTGTCTGTGAATATGTGTTAGGAATTTCTAAACGCTAATAGCCGTGACTCCTCTCTGGATGCCAGCACAATGTTTAAATAAATTATAAAAGATTCTGAATGTTATCATACAGAATGGTTTATTCCCAGGTCAAGTGTTGTTTTTGATGTGAAAGATGGACCCACAGCTTTCCTTAGGTAAATGTATCAGTACTCTTTGTAGTGTGTTGCCCAGTTACTCCTAGTCTAAGCACTGATTTGGGCTGAATCAGGAGCCTTCAGCTTTCAGGCCTCTGCTCTGTGGAACCAGCTCCCAGTTTGGTTTTGGGAGACAGACACCCTCTCTAGCCTTAAAGCTTTCAGGTCTAGATCAGGTGACTCAGAGTCCTCCCTTATTCTTGCTGCAATGTGTTTGTGTACCACTCTGCATTCAATTGTTAGTTGTTAGTAAATGGCTCTCTTCCACAGTGTGTCTGTGTGTCTTGCGGCAAGTGACCACCTCCTTCCTGTTAAGAAGGAGTTCTTCCTTCCCACTATCTCTTGCTCACAAGGAGTTGCCACTGTATTATAGCAGGTTATTTTCCTTACACTATAAACCCCCTTGAGGTGACTATTGTTGTGATTCGGTAATATATAAATAATGCTGAACTGAACTGAATCCATTGACTTGAGGGATTGTTGGCTGAATGGTGAAAATAATGTGAAACTGCTTTGTTATGCGCACATTTTGCTTCAAGTGAATATTTGTTAAAAAATAATATTAACTATAAACAATAAAGCTACCAGATACCTGGTCAGATAACAGAAGAGGAGTAAAAAGTGCCATATGAAATGGCGTAGAAGCAGAAAGTAGCATTAAATGGAGATACTCAAAGTACCTCAAAATTGTACTGAATTAATGTGATAGAGCTATACAGTTCCATAATTAGATGAGATCCATTGCGGATTTGTATGATCAAAGTGCAGTTCTGTTTAGATTGTGTGTCCGACTCATATGGTTATTTACCTTGAGAGCCCCACTGCATGCTGCCTATTTAATGACTGAAAATGTCGCACTCCTAATTAAAAGTACACCTGTGGCTTCATGCACCCGATGGGAAACACTCTCCATCTCCATACTCTAATTTGCCAGGGCATTGCCCAGTTTGTCTGAGTGCCAGCCAACAAAGGGCTTAATTTGCACTTGTGTGTGTGTGTGTGTGTGTGTGTGTGTTTCAGGCTAGATGAGACAGCCTAACCCTTACTCACGAGGAGACTAGTAGTTCTTCAAAATTGTTTTGGATGTTTGATGTTATGATTCGTCCTCTGTTGGTCCTGGTAAGGGAATTACTGTCTCAAGTCTTTAATGTCAAGGATTTAGAGACGTGATGATTACAGCTTTGTACCTCAGTGCTCCTCATTTAACATGATGAGCCCATTTTTAATCAGTTTGATGGTTTGGATTCAGCAGTTCAACTACTACTTCGGACTGCAAATGTTGAAAGTCACCCTTTTTATGGACAGTTGTTTAGAGTTACATAAGATTGACACTAGTTGCATCGTATGCCTGCAAGCAGCGGTCTAGCTTATCCTACGACTGGCTACATGCTGGAGGCAGTTGAAGAGCTAGCCTAGCTCTCTACAAGCATAACAAGGGAGGCTTTTCAACTTTTCAATTATTGCTTTAATTAGTTATTTTTTAAACATTGTTTTGTGGACTTGGAGAGGGCATTCGACCATGTCCCTCGGGGGGTCCTGTGGGGGGTGCTCCGGGAGTATGGGGTGTCTGGCCCATTGCTACGGGCCATTAAATCCTTATACAACCGTTGCAAGAGCTTGGTCCGCATAGCCGGCAATAAGTCGGACTCGTTCCTGGTGGGTCATGGGCTCCGCCAGGGCTGCCCTTTGTCACCGATTCTGTTCCTAATTTTATGGACAGAATTTCTAGGTGTAGCCAAGTGTTGGAAGACTTTCACTTGGATGGTCTCAGAATCTCATTTCTGCTTTTCATGAATGATGTGGTTTTGTTAGCTTCATTGGGTGATGGCCTCCAGCTCGCCTTGAAACGGTTCACAGCTGAGTGAAGCTGTGGGAATGAGAATCAGCGCCTCCAAATCTGAGGCAATGGTCCTCAGCCAGAAAAGAGTGGAGTGCCCACTCCGGGTCAGGGACGAGTTCTTGCCCTGATTGGAAGAGTTTAAGTATCTCGGGGTCGTGTTCATTAGTAACAGAAGAAGGGAGAGGGAGATCGACAGACGGATTGGTGCAGCGGCCACAGTGATGCGGACGCTGTACCGGTGTGTTGTGGTGAAGAGAGAACTGAGTGTAAAAGCAAAGCTCTCAATTTACTGGTCAATCTACGTCCCTAGGTGAGGGACCTATGGTCACGAGCTGTGGGTAGCGACCGAAACAACAAGATCGCAGATACAAGTGGCGGAAATGAGCTTCTTCCAAAGGGTGGTTGGCGTCTCCCTTAGAGATATGCTGCTCCTTCACATCAAAAGGAGCCAGTTGAGGGGGTTCGCGCATCTGACAAGGATGCCTCTTGGGTGCCTCCTGGATGAGGTGTTCCGGGCATGTCCCATCAGAAGGAGGCCCTGGGGCAGACCCAGGACATGCTGGAGAGATTATATCTCTCGGCTGGCCTGGGAACGCCTTGGTGTTCCCCTGGACAAGCTGGATGAGGTGGCTGGGGAGAGGAAGGTCTGGGCTTCTCTGTTTAGGCTGCTGCCCCCACGAACCGGCCCCAGATAAGCGGAAGAAGATAGATGGATAGACATATTAAAAGAACAAAATACAATCCACTATTAAGTGAATGTTAGAGGTAGACGTGTGTGCACATTTTAGAACAAGTCATTATTCTAAAGATAAACTGCTGTTGCAGTTTCATATACCAGCAGCCAAACATGAGAGTGGTATCGATCTTTTTTTTTTTTTTTTTTTTTGCCTGTCCCGTTTGGCTCTTTTGCCATCAGAATTATTGTCTAAAGGCAAAGAAAGATGCCCAATGGATTTACTTTACCAAATTGACCATCTCAGCCTTGCCGTAATGGTCCATTTGATTCACCTTTTATTGTTTATTTTATTTTCACTTGCTGAATATGGGACAGACTTGACTGGGGTAAAGAAGGGGAGAAAGAAAGAGGGAAAGAGAAACAGCTGAGAAGAGGGACAAGGGAAGAGGGAGGAGGGCAAAAGACAAAAAGCAACAGAATGGGCAGGAAAAAAAAGAAAAAAAATGCATATATCGATCACCTGGATCACCTGTTGAGAAAGAAAAAAGAGAACAAGCAGAAGAGAACAAGAGTAATAGAATAAACAACATCACAATGATATATGGGAATATGACAGTAAATACTAAATATTAAACATTATTGTGCAGCACATAAGATCAACAGAACACAGTGTGCTTTGAGGTAGGAGCCAAAAAGGGTGTAGTTTGTGTGTGTGATCACCCGTGTGTACACCTGTGAGCATGGATGCGCTTGTTTTTAAAAGGTCCCTTCATGTAATGATCTGCTAGAGGGTGTGGGGGGGGCCACAGACCCGTCCTCCAGGGCATGAAGCAGGTATGGAGGAGATCAAAACTCCAGACATCCAGAGGCCCCAGAACACAAGAGACCAAGGAAGACCAACAGAGGGGCAGCCGCGCCACTGTCCCAGAAAGAGCTGAGGAGAGTCCCAGATGAGGGGTCACTCAGCAGCCGCGGCGCAGAAACCAGGGGGGGTTGCAATGATGCGTCCGTGAGCTCCGCCGGCAGCCAGCTGTGCCTGAGTGACTGAGCCCCAGGCCGAGAGGCCGGGGCACCCCACCTCCGAAGTGGCCCGAGCGAGCCCCAGGCTCCAGGCCCCGATAAGCGGCCGCCAAGGAGTGAGCCGGTGTGTACCTGGACGCCCATCCTCAGACACAAAGAACCACCAACGTACCGCCCCGACTCCGCAGCAGCAGGGAGGCCCCACACTCCAGACCGCAGTCGGACGGCCAACTCCTCCTAGCCCCCCGCTCCAGCAGGCCGCAGAGAACGGGGGTGAGAGAAGACTCCAAACCTCCCTCCACCCGCTCATTGTAGTGTTGATGCATGTGTGCATTTAAAACCCAGGAGGGCATGGAGCTACCTGCCAGAGAGCAGCAGGTAAGCGCATAGTCCCTCCTGCTAGCCCTCAATGTCTACGTGTATTTAAAATTGAGAGGTGGGCAACGACGCTGGGGGTGAGGTGTACACCCTGATGGTAATTTGGATTCCGTGTATCGTGCCCACCCCCAAGATCCTATATGTATGTGTAATGAGAGTGTGATTAATGTGAATGTCTAAGTTGTGGGATAAAATTGAGGCAGAGGCAGCCGGAAGGGGACGGGGGGGGGGGGGGGGGGGGGGGTAGCCTCCTCTGCACCCTGGTGACACACCCCTACTCCAAGGCCCTGCATGTGTGGGTGGTTGTGGTGGAGCGGGAAGAGGGAGGCAGCTGGAGATGGGGAGGGAAGGAAGGGAGGGGCAGGTGACCCAGCTCCCCCGCTGACCCAGTAGGCACCCCCATTCTCTGCGACCCGCCAGGGAAAGGGGGCCCAGGCCCATCCAGACCGGGGCCCAGTGCAGCAGCACCGCCCGGCCCCACAGAGCCCGGGACAGTCCACCCGATCTTTTGAGAGCAAATGTGTGAACAGACGATCAAACTATTCAGTCAACATGTCTTAAACAACATGATCAGCATTCAGAGTCGAGGATTTCTGTTACTTAGCCTCATAACATATTAAATTAAAATTGCCAAATCAGAGCCCGTGTGTCAGACTGGCTTAAGTGAGTGTATTTTATAGAATTCACTGTTCATATTACATACATGTCTAAACGCTGATGCTCATAATGAAGTCTTCTCACAGCTACTGAATTATGCAGAGGCATTTCCTATAAAAAAAAAAAATCACATCAGCTTTGACTTGATAGAATGCAAATTTGTTCATTTCCCTTAGGCATTTGGAAGAAAGTAATTAAGCAAAGGACCCTTTGTCTTCAGAATGCTTTTTGAGTCATTTCATCGCAGGATAAGAGGACTATCTGTCAAGAGAAAAGCTTTCATGTACCACTGAGTGTGTTGACTTTTTCTAATCTATTGTTCTCCTAGACATTTTTCTCAAAAGTTTTCCGGTGCAACCGGGAGAGCTGAAGGACAAACTGTTCATCATTAATGAGAAAGATGGAGGCCTGTCTGATGAGCACATCACCTCTCTGAGGAGGTATGACTTGGTGCCAAAAAAACGCTGATTTGTATTCACTCCTTATAGTGTCACAACTGAAGCTGAGAGGTGAACATCTTTTTGTGCCCAAGTCCGTGGGCGGTTGATGTGTGTTTTCATTGGCAGAGGTAAAGCCTTTGGAAACTAGATACTAAACAAATCATCAACGGGGATGTGGGTCCATGTTACTGCCAGGACAATGTGAAACAGGGGAAACCGCTGCCAATTCATGTGAGGAAGAAACACAGCAGTATTCACTGTGTTTTAATACTAAAGAGCAGATGCCAGAACCTTTTACTAGAGCAGCTCACTAATAAAAGTTTTATCTCGGGTTATTTGCAGAGATGGAAACTATTGACATGCCCTCAGGAATAAAACACAGCAAGTGGGTAAAATGCTTCCTGATTCTTACCTGCAGTTTACTTAGTGACTCTGTGTGCTGACCTCCTGGAAGGCAAAACTGATCTAATGTACTGTGGGGACGGTTTTATATATTCTGTGAAAACATAATATATATTTTAATGCGTGGTGGCGTCGTCCTGAGGAATACAATCTTGAAAGAACCACTCCCAACAGGTGCTGCAATATTGATGACCGGTGCTACTCCGGTGGCACATAGGCTGACTCGTGAAAAGGCGAATGTCTATGGTTTGAGGTCACAACTCACAGGAATGACAGAAGTAGGAAGCCCAGTTTAAGACGAGAGAGAGGTTCAAATTCAGTGCAAGGGAATAAATGGCTCTTCCCATCAACGTCTCGCTGCTTTATAGAAGCTCACGAGGACCATCAGCGTTACTTGGCTTTTAATCACTCGCCTTTCCCTTGGCTACTAGAAGTCAGTCTAATGGCATCGCTTCATGGGGCCAAGCAAGAAAACATGTGATGACATACCTGAACAAAGATCAAAAGGGAGAAGTACATATGACAAAAAAAGGAAATGTAACATAAAATTTTAAAGTCAGTCTAAAGGTCTAAATGTATGCGTCTTTTTCTGATGCTTAAACAACGACTGATATTAGAGATAGCTGCACTTGATGTGTTTTTACCTTTTTGACATGGCGACACGTCATATTCAACTCTTTACTCTTTTTTAAAGATTAATAAGTTGAAATAATTCTCAGGTTCATACAGTACTACTATTCTTAGTCAAATGTCGCTCTAAATTTCACACACGGGCCATACTAACAAATGTCTCTATCAAAATAAAAACAAAAGACTGTAAATATGTACAGCTGACACAGTGTTGTTAACCAGTAGAAAATAAATTCATAGCTCCACATACAGCATACTGTTTGAGGATGGGCGCTTTTCCCCCTTGGCAATAAAATATTCACCGTGGCACAGAAAAAGATATCAGTTCTGGAATGAAAATTTCTGCTTTTGATTGTTGCCAAGGTTTTCTTCATTCTTGATTTTAAGTTGTTTTTTTTTCCATGTTCTATGATTTTTTTTTTTCATTTTTAATTAGAAAACTATAAACTCTGTTATTTGTGTGATGTACTGTCACCACTCTTACCTAATGCTTGCACTGGGAACTATATATGCATCAGGTGGACATATTGTAGCTCCACGTGTGGAAGATATTAGGGTGTATTTGTTGACAGCACCATATCAACTTAGAAAAAAAATCTGCCTTTGTTCAGTTTATATATAATTGCTGATTGCTGTCGGTGGCCAGAAAAGTCCATTTCTGAACATTTATTGACCTTGGACAATGACAAATTACTAAATAAATTGACTTAATCTTCATTAATTACACTTGCCTGTCAGATTTAACCACATAGCTTATCTTTTATCTTCAGCCCCTGAACACATTATGACTAAAAGACAAAAGGCACATAAAAAGCAAACAAATCAAACATCAAATTTTGTAAAGGAATGTACGTGATATGAATGTAGGTGAGAAAAATGTGTAAAATTGATTAAAACTGAGAGGCATAAAAGCCTAACAAGACTAACCGTCCCAGATGACACACACATACAGGCAAATATGAAAAAAAGGGAAATGAACATAGACATCTCATATGACATATGGCATATAAGCCCAGAGGCAAAAAAGAAATCAGACATCACGTTGGCACTGTTGTTTTTCCAGCAGCAGCAGATTTCTACAGGATGTTGAAGCAAGTCTCCCAAATCAGCTGGAACTTATTTTCCAACCACGTAGGAAAGAAAAGACTGATTGGCAAATTCACATAAAATTGAAGGACCCAGACTATTACAGCCCTCTAAACGGGCTCCGTATTTATCCACCAGATGAATATTAATGACTAAATAAGCATAGTGTTTTACGAATATATTTAGGTATTACTGATTACAAATTAAACTCAAAAGACTCGGATAATCTGAAGTGTCAGGACTATGTGAGTGTGGTTTGATTAGACCGGACAGACAGAGAGCAGACAAGTGATTGATTAAAGCTCAAAAGAGTATGAAATCACCTTTTCAGAACTAAGCCTCAGAGGAGAAAGGGGGGAAATAGCAGGACAATGATATACTCAAAAAATGTTTAAAACTGTTGTTTGGCAAGAAATGTTCATTGTGAAACCATCTGATTGGTTATTTTAACAGGTAAATAGCATCTGTATGTAAAAAGAACAGCAAACATTTTCTTCTTATTTATTTATTGTTTTATGTTTAAGGTATGTCCCCACCATGGAAGATGTGGAAAGGTACAAATCCTACAAAGGACCTGTAGCTGAACTGCATATTGTGGACCAGTACATGATGGAGGTACAATTTTTAGTTACATGTATCATCTTCATATGCAATTAAAAATTAGGTATACACGCTCATAACATACAAGCTCGCTAACATAAAACAATAGGAATGGTTACAATAAGATGCAGGCCTAAAACATCAGTGTTCAATAAAATAAACTTCTAACTTGTAGCTGATCAATACACACACTGCATTTTAAATTGTACAAATGTTACCACTAAATTCATTACAAACCAGTTTTTTTGACATCCTGCATTGACACTAAGCGTGACATTGTGGCTGCACCAAATGCACTCTTATTTTATAAGTTGCACTTAAAATTTAATGAGAAACACGGGCTTGTGCTTCATTGACGGCCTTCTTCATTCTCGGTGGCAGGGGAGACTGCAGTCATCAAACTGCTTTTGAGGCGCAGCCTGTTTCATTGCTTTGTAGAAATCCTCACACACACACACACTCGCACATGTGGATCATTTCTTTCTCTGTTTTCTGCTCTAATGCTGCAACGTTTCAACCACACATTTCGGATTTCTTGATTTTCTTTTGCCTTTGGTTAAATGGCTAAAACTGAATTTCCACTCACAGGGAATGGAAATAGATAACAAACAACTGCATCAAAAACAGGAATACAGTTGAAAATAGAATATAGTTTATAACAGTTTATTTTTTTCAAGTTTCCACTTCATTGAGCTAATTATAATTTATTACTTTAGGAATTGGGAACCAATAATTGGTCATTTAGAAACATGATATTCCAATATAGTGGCATGATGGTTAGCACTATTGCCTCACAGCAAGAAGGTCCTGAGTTCAGGTCTGCTCGTGTTTGTTTCCTCTAACAATCCAAAACACATGTAGTTAGTGGGGTTAGGTTAACTGGTAACTCTGGTTACCAGAATGGTTTTCTGTCTATGTCTGTTAGCCCTGCGAAAGACTGGCAACCTGTCCAGGGCGTACCCTGCCTCTCGCCCTAAGATAGCTGGAATATGCTCCAGCCTACTTACGACCCTGACAAGGAGAAGAGGATGAATGGATATTCCAATATATTAACAAATGAGACATAAAAAGATTTTTCTCACATTTGCTATCTGAAGGATGTTTCTCTCATCTTTACTTTACTTTTAAAAATTTATTAGTCTTTGTGGCTAATACTAATAGATCACAAAATAGCCAATATGCCAATTAACCAATACCTTATGCTTTACTCGCTAGGTGTACCAGCACCACTTTTTGTTACCATCCTGTCCACTTCTCAAGTAGTACAAGGTTGGGAAATAGTAAAGCAAGTACCTGATCAGTGACCACATCAGTACCAACGTTCAGAAGTATCACTGAAAAAACTGTAGTGTTTTTCTGTGCATGCAATCCCTCCAAGTAGGGAATGCTATTGCACACACACACAGAAACATGCTGTGGAGCACACTGAAATTGAGCATTAAAGTTGAAGGTGGGAGTGTCATTTCTCACTGAGCCTTCTCCCCTTTACTGTGAACTTTACCTTAATGTGACCCCGCCATGCTGGGAGACATGCTCTTGGTACCCTGTACCTTAGCAGTGCTCTTGTCAACCGTGACAGGCAGCACCTGATGACTCTGTTCTTTATATTCTGTGTAGGAATACCAGCCATACTACAGTTACAAAAAGAAGGATTGGTTATGCTGTTTTTTTTTTTAAACTTACTGCAGTTTGTCTTTTCACTTCCCAAAGAAATGCAAAGAAAAACACGACTTTTGTTTAACCCAGTTTGAACTAGGATAGTCTAAAGCACTGATTTAGAGAATGATACAGGAGGCTGTTGGCTATCCCAGCTGGTTACTGGGTAACCAGTTCATCACAGACCAAATCAGACAGAAAGAAAACCATTCACACTCAGATTTACACCTACAGCGATTTTAAAATCACCGCAAAACCAGTGAATGTCTTTATACTGCGCCCACGCGGGCGGAAGAACGTGCAAACTGTAAACAAAAAAGGGCAGCAGGATGAAAACCAGAACATTCCTGCATAACATAACAGTTAACTAACCACTGCACGAATTCTACCCTACCAGAATTACAATTACAAGAATTTAAATAGCAAATTTCAGATCTCACGATTAAAGCAGCATCCAATGCATGCTCATTTAGCACTTTGCTCACGAGAACTTGTTGAGTCACCTGCCTTCTCAGTCACACACCACGGCTGTCATGGCAGGCATCATCTGGTTATCACTTTCCAGCAAGGTTGGCAGTGATATGGTGGCTCGAGGTTGCAGCAGGGTTAGCAGATGAACAGCCAGAGCAGCCCACACTGCCACACAGGAATATTTGACAGTGTGTTTTTTTTAAAATGGGATTTCGTATGCAAGCCTGGGTTGAGTGGCAACACCTTCGTAAGCCTCATGTACTTCTGAAGGCTCTGAAGGCTCAAACCTCCATGCAGACAGGCTGGGTTCTACTAAATAAACAACAAAATCAGTTTTATTTATTATTGTCAACTAACAGGTATTCAAACTAAAATACCATTAACTAATGTTCTGCGGGGTTTATTCATTCCAGACATCCACCCCATAAATCCATCGATCCATCCATCCAATCTCTTACGCTTATCCAATACAGAGTCATGGGGAAGGTGGAGCTTATCCCACAGGGGCACAGGGTACACTCTGGATAGGCCAAAAGACTGTGGCAGGGTTCACACAGAGAGAAAAGCTACCATTCGCTCTTGCATTCACACCTTTAGCCAATTCAGAATCACAGGTGAACCTAACCTAAGGCCAGAGTACCCATAGAGAACCCACCCAGACACAGGGAGAACATGCAAACGCCACACAGAAAGGCCCCAGCACCTTCTTTCTGTGAGCCAAACCAATCTAAAGTACCGTGCCATCCTAACACAATTTGAATATGTTTTCTATGCAAGACATGTGATAGTCAGTATTTATGCTTTTGCACCACACCTTGTACACACTTTACAACATGTGTGGTCTTCTGGTGCTTTATTGTATTTTGAAACTGAACATTATGTTGGAACCTTCAAGCAACTGTTTAATTATTCTCTGTTTACGGAGTATCAATAAAACTACTTATTGGATACAGCTGGAAGCAACAGTTTGGGAACCCCTGAGCTAATTTGCTCAATTTGTTGATTTCTGAAGTGAAAAGAAAACTCAAGCCCTGCAGCAAGCAGACATTAAAATGGAATACTCTTTGCACTGCTGTTATTTTATCTGAGAAACTTCAGATCAGTAATTTTGGTGCATAAAACAGGCACCTTTTGAAGCCAGTCCTTCTGTACTGAATTAGGAATTCCTCTTACCTTTCTTGAATAGCTCAACAGTATGTTGGATTTTGAAGTATGCAGTGTCTTGAGTGACTGCAGGACAACTGCATTCAGAATGCACTGGTATTTAGTGAAATCCATTCTTTTCTTTATCCCTGCATTACTTCGTGTGCTACAGGCTGCTTGAAGCAGAATTTTCTACCCAGTGTTTAACAGCTGACATTTCTCCCCATCAGAAACTGTTTAGTTTCATTTTTCTACAAACATAACGATTGTGGCCAATCCCCCCAAAAAACAAAAAAGCAACCCAATACAAACCCCCCAGTAACTAACTCAATTCTAACATCACTTTTTCTTCAGGCATTGACTTTTGTGATTAGTGTGTGTGTAAGATTTCCCACTGAAAACTCTTTCATACACAAGCAGTTTGTTCATCAGTGCTGCACTGTGAAAAGAGGGCATTAGCACTACTGTGCCAGCATGACTCTTCCACAGCTCCTTTGCAGTCATTGTTCCCAAACATGTATTGACCTCTGTCGTTTCCCTTAACTGACATTTCCTAATGGTGCTTTAAACAGCAGAAATAGGCTGCCGCAGAGATGACGTATTTTTGTACAGTAACCTGGAAGTTGGAATCACCTTGATAAAATGATAAATTAGATTATTTTTTTTAATAAATAACAAATGAGCTCTTGTGTTAACGGCAAAATAAAAAGTTCCGTGGGAGAAAAACTGTTTTTGATGAAACTTTATCAAATGTAAATAAGGTACTTTTGGTTGCTTCCTTATTTATTAAGTTGTTGCCACAGTGGATGGATCTGCAGTTTGAGTTTATACCCTTCTTGATACTATCTTCACATTTATTCCGCTTTGGGACTGGCACAAGAAGTAAGCCAGCTTATGAAGCTGAGCTTGTTTCTCTTTCCAATCTCAAACCCTTGATGCGTTAACCACTACACCATTAAAACATTAATATTAGGGGTATGTCACGGTTTGCGGGGCAGACTGTGTGGGGTGTGTGTGGAGGACCCGGGTGCGGACACAGATGAGAAGACACACTAAACTTAAACAAAAGGCGAGCCATTTATTTTGGCTGATAAAACATGAATACAAAATAAAGCAAAGGCAACAGGGCGTAAACTAACCTAAAAACTATCCTGGGAAAATTAAACTATGATAATCGTGACTGAACTGTGATAACTATGGTGATACACATGAACATGATTCAACCCAGGAATGTGCGAAAAAACTATGAACAACAAGTACATGAAACATGAACACAACCTGAGCAGAATCATGACATACATGGAACTTGAGGTAACGTGGTGGGAGGAAACAGACAATTCAACACAGACTGAATGAAACAGAGAGACTAAAGACCCACGTGGATGATTAGGGAAGTGGAAACACATGAGGGGAAACAGCTGACACACATGAACCTAATGAGGGGACGGGAAGTGAAACTAAATACATTACCAGACTCTTTCAAAATAAAACAGGAAACATGAAGGACGGAGACATAATACTAACTTGACAACATGAACCAACAAGGGGGACTGGAACATAAGGGGTGACGACGCGAAAGGATCTAGGTAAACAAAACAAACACTGAGCAACTATGAGCTTTAGGAATAACTAGATGAACTTAACATAAAGTAATATCAAAATACAAGAAGACTAAAATCCAAACTAATAACAGCAACAACAAGAACTAAATACATGTTTAATAATAATAATAATATAACTCAACAAATACCAAAATGAAGATAAAATGCTGGGTCACAGATCCAGCCCGTGACAGAATATAAACAAACTACACTGTGGTCACATGACTTCAGCATCTCTTAACCTGGTAAGACCCAACCCATCAAAAAATAGCCAGAAAATTCAGATGTTTTGGAACTGACATGTTTATTAACCCTTACAACAAAATCCTTTTTTTTGCTATATCATGTTCTGTATCATATATTTAAAAAAAGAGTTTTGTCCATAGCATTTTGAAATTATGGCAAGCATTGATCATGTTGATGAGATAGAGGTCTCACAAACTCATGTATCAAATATGATACAAAGGGCATTAGACGGTTAAGCTTCTGTGTTGGATATGATGACAAACGTGCCTAGAAACTTGTGCAGTTTCATTTAACAAAACTGCTTTTTTCCAACACCCAACATCTGGTAGAACAACAGAGCCAAGAAGCACAACATCTTTTACAATCCTTACACCTTTTCTAGGATTCAGTTAGTTTACACCTTCTATCCACTGTTTAGATGTACCCACAGCTGCAACGTTTTAAGCAAACATTATGAAAGTCTCAATTGTCATCCTACTAAGTAAAATGAGGCCAGAAACAACATCAGAGAGACAGGGAACCTAAAATCTATGGAGAATTTGGAAACAGCAAAGATGGAGGTAGAAAAACATTAATGGGAAAAAAAATGCCTTTTAAAATCTTATTTTGGGGCAAAGACATCAAAGCTTTGAAGTCTTTTTTTATCAGATTTGGATTTTGTGACATTTTTATATTTAATTGACCATTTAAATTAAAGGTCATTTAAATATATCTTCAAATAATTGTACAGATGGCTCCCAATGGCTTCTTCTAGTACATCTAGTGAATTAATAAAGTTGTACAATCAGTCTTCTTTTAGTCCCTATATATACAGTAGTTAGATGGCAAACAGTGCCTTGTCCACTCTCTTTTTCTTGTAAATGTTTTATGTCACTCTCATTTTATGTTAATGAGAGTGTGGGGAGTGAGTTGGAGGGTGGGGTGGGCTGTTTTTAACTATGTAAAGCACTTTGTGCTACATTGTTTTTTGTATGAAAAGTGCTTTATAAATAAAGATTGATTGATTGATTGATTAAATATAGAGTAGGTGCACTGTATAATAAAGTGAATTAAAAGTCTGTTTACAGTGTATAGTATACAGTTTAAGTGCCCAGCAAACATTTCCGTGCTGTAAATACAGCTTTACAGAGCAGCTTGCAAATCAGCAGAGTCTTGTCTTTGCTGTTGACAGTTGGAAATGGTCTGGTTATCTGCCTTACAGCTCTGAGTAATCACTTCCCTCTCAGGATGCTTGTGGACATAAGAGTGGCATCCTCGAAGCATATTTTCCATTGAGGTAAAATATATTAGGGATGAAGCGTAGGTATTTTTCTTAAAATAAATCAAATCCTACTCATGCTGTCTGTGTTGTCATACTCTTGTATATAGCAGTCTGTCTCGCGCTACAATGTATAGGAGGTTTTATCCGGTGTATGTATGAAAGCTGGCTATTTTTCACAAAGCGAAAGTGTGCTGTCTCGCAGTAGAAAAGTTGCAATGTTTTCGTTTTTATAATCAGATTTGGTGAAGATGAAAATTTCATCTTGTGCGTTATAGAAAATGTTGTCAAAATACCTGAAAATCTGACAGTGACAATAAGCAAACACTTTTAGTTTTTAGCCCAGGGTGATGTCCTTTTAGCGGTATTAGACTGACACAGAAGGATGTGTCATCCTCCACAACAGGGGAAATTATTACATGGTATAGATTTCTAACACTAATCCTGATACCTATCCGTAACTGTCCGTCAGACTAGGTGCCCTTTGCCTTTTGGGAGATGGTACCTGAGCATCAGCGAGCCAGTCTGACAATGAAGAATGATTTATTAGAGGTTAGCACAGACACAAAGGTCGACTAGGCAGCTCAGCCAATCGTTTCAAAGTGTCAAGCCTTCAGTTTCTCAGTTAAATCAGCCTGTCGACAGGCCTGCAGCTCTCTGCTTTTGCCTGCGGTAATCTTGAATCTGAGAACAAGCCTCAGCCATCCGATGACTGTATCTCCCCCCAGCATCTCCCAGCAGCTCTGCTTTTTAGATAATTCTGAATAATCACATGGAAATAGGCTGTGTGATGATGTGATAATTGCGCTCTCTTCTGTATATCCACAGCTCATTACCGTTACATCTTTTCTCTGCTACAGATGTGCAACATCGCCTACCTGAGCACACAACTCGACCTGTTGTTGACTCTGAGAGAGCTTCCGATCAGCATGAACGACCTGCAGCCCGTGAGTTCACTCGATCACCAGCAGAGTCAAATCAAAGGTCGAATTAGATGTTGAGCTGTGTTTAAAGTCTGCCCCATTTCTACAGGCTGAAAAAGGGTAAAACCACGAGACTGCACAGCACATAATCAAACACCTCTATGCAAATTTATTCTCTAATGCAAATGCTAATGCCCAGATACATCGTAGCTTTAGACATAAATGAAAAGAACATCTGTGCACAAAATACTATTAATACATGAAAGCTTTTCCCCCCTCTTCAGTTTGACTTTTAGGTTTTATGTGGCGGGTGAAGTAGTTTCTATTCTATTTGCTGGAATGTTAAGAGTCTTGAAAACACAAAAGCATGAGAAGCACTTTAAGACACTTTTCTTCATTTGACGGAGAAGAAAAGATGGCTCTTAATCAAATCAAGTTTAATTTTTCTGCAGGTGGTTTAAAACCACCAAAGTTTAAAAGAAAATCCTTATCAAAAAACCCAATGAAAACTCACTTTGGAGTTATCACAAAGGAAGAGATGTGGAAAGATTTATGACTTTTTCTTCTTTCTGCAAACTTCTAGACCCACTTCAAAGACAGACACTTTTAAATTAATACAGGTAAAATCAAATGAAAAAAACACACACTCACACAAAGTTCCAACTCAAATATATATATATATATATATATATATATCTATATCTATATATATATATCTATATCTATATTAATTTTAGTATCTTCTTAACCCTTACACGAACACCTGAAATGCTTTTGGTTTGTGTAGTTCGAGTATCCAGAGATTCCTGTTCATCATTAGTCAGACTGATCGTTAACACTCTTATCGCGCATTGTTGTTTATTGGCACTGGGGACTGCAGGGTGTAAAGATATTGCAGGCAGACAAGAATGCCCCCCAGCACCTCAGCCATTTTTTTATGTGATTCTCTCAAGCTTCTGTTTCTTTCAGCATCAGTGCTTCAACCCTAATCTCTTGTCTGCTGACTGTCTGAGAATGAAGAGAAACAATGGATAAGAATGATGGCACTGTAATCCATTGACTGTGACAGTAATTTTTCTTTGTCTAACACACAGGGACAAACATATTGTGTGCCGGCAAGATGACTCGACAAGAAAGATTAGCAATTTCATTAAGTTTCAATTTACTCTTGGCTTTTTGCTTCTGATATTGTTTTCTTTCTACTGTGTTATTAAAAAGGTCATTCAATCAAAAGCTTTGGTATTTGCGTACAGGTACACTGTGACAAAAAGGTAAGGTGCACTTCAGATTTAGGTCCTTCCTAGTACAGTGTGTTCAAACATTAGGGTCCTCGTAGTCGCAACATAGTTGCAAATCCTTGGATTCTCCAACACGACAGGCTTCTTAAGGCACTAACATTAAGAAGGATTTACCTGCCACCTGACAGACAGGACTTGAGGAGGGAAAATGGCAAAGTCACCACTGTGGGAATGCTTCTCACCTGTGATGTGCTTGTTGGTGTTTCACTGCAAGGATGACAGCTTTTACTCTGCATTGTGGCCCTAGCTTTTTCTTTAAACATTTGCTGTGCTCTGTGTGCAGCTATTTCAAATATACATATAAGAAATGCAAAGTCACAGAGCCAGAGCCATTGATGCAGTAGACAGGGAGGCATCACCTGAAGCTGTGATGTACAGAATGATAAAACCAAATGTAGTATTTTCAGTAGATATATAAATGGTGAACTATTCTAAAACAAGACACAATACAATCTTGTGTAATTTGACAGAAAGCCTTGCTGTAGTAAAAAAACACAAAAATAAAGAAAGCCTTGCAGACTTCATCTGAATGCACAAAACATCAAATATGAATATGAAACTTTAGCAACTTTAGCATTAAAGAAATATACAAATGTTTACCAGATTCACTTTATCCGTTAAAGGGAACTTATTATTCTAATTTTAACTCCATGTTTTTATTGTTGGATTCTACTAGACTTTAAATGATTGACAACTAAAAATAATCCTTATTATCTTATACCAAAGCTCTTCAGACCACTCTAGTTCCCACTTTAAGGCTACTGTCCCTTTAAGCCAGGTTTCTTTAGTAGGTGGGCGGGGCTTCTGTGCCTGCCATAGCCTTATTTGGCATACCCCTTTTTAACAGCATACATCTCCTGGAGCATTGGTTCAAAGGGATTAGTTGTAAATACATTGATCCAATTATATGAAACTCAGGTTTAACGTGGACATTCACCATTGTAACAATGGTAAATAAAAAAGCACAGAAAAGTATAATAAGTCATCTTTTCTCCTCAGAAAACAGAGACAATCTGGGAGGCTCGGCTCTGTTTTTCTTCTTTGAGTTCAGGTTGGGCTAATTGTCTTCTCTTTGTAACTGCGGTTTTCAATTACCAGTGGGTGTTCTTGGCCTCCTTGCTTTTGGAGCCAGCAGTGAGCCTATTATAGCTTGCAGCATCCAAATGAAATAAAGAACATATATTAGAAAACGTATCTGGACAAGCCGCACACAGTTAGGTCTATAAAGTTTTGGACATTTACATAGTTTCTGTAGTTTTTCTTCTGTGCACCAATACAGTGCATTTTAAATCAAACAATCAAGATGTGACTGAAGTGCAGGCTTGCAGCTTTAATTCAAGGGGTTTAACAAAAGCACTGCATTAACTGTTTAGGAATTAAAGCCATTTTTATACAAAGTCTAACATTTTCATAACCTCAGGTTTATATTGTTAAATGGTGATTATGAAGCAGTGTGTTTCAGATATTACAGAGTAACATGAAAGCAATGTAACAAGAAATATAACAAATTACCTTTTGCAGGAGAAATTAAGTTATGTACTGCTTTACTTTTAAGGGAAGTGTTCAGGTAATATGTGTAATAATAACTTTTTTGAGTAGCATCTCCAACAGTGATAACAGCAAAAAGGGGAAATACCTGAACAAACACGCACAAACATTTGACCCACAGCGTGCAATTAATCTGCATGAATGTAATTTCTTTATTGCTGCTTAGCGATGGTGGTGACTCTCAATGAGAACCCAATGACAATCGATAAGAGATTTTAAATTGGTAATCGAATCGATAAGTGATATCGATAATGGAATCGGAATGGCTAAATTCTTATCAGTTTCCATCCCTACTCAAGAACAGAAAGGCCAGATTAGACAGAAAACATGTTAAAGAGCCTGCTTGGTTGGGGAAAAAAGTCTTTGGAAAAGTGAAACAAGATTAATAAATTGTATCAGTATGATAAGAAGAAAGAAACAGATGATGATATGAAGTACATCACATTATCTGTCAAACATGGAAGAGGCAATGTTAACAGCATGGGTATGTAAGACTATGAGGGAAACCAGGCTACTAGTGTTTAATGATGGTGAGACTGCTGCTAGAAGTAACAGGATGTACTGGGCTGTAATAAGAGTGGATAGCACTTCACAATGCAAATGGATAATGACCCAAACCGTGCTACAAAAGCAACTCAAGAGTTGCTCAAGGAAAAGAAAGGGAATATTCTTGGATGACTAAGTTATTCACCTGATCTTAACCCAATAGAGCATGCTTTACAATTATTAAATACAAAACTGAAAGTAGAGAGACCCACAAGCAAGCAGCAACTTAAGGTAGCTGGAGTGAGTATCTCAAGAGACACTGCTTTTGGTAATGTCACTTCAGGCAGTGATTAACTGCAAAGGATTTTAATCAATTTATTTAAAAAAAAAAAAAAAAAAAAAAAAAAAAAATATATATATATATATATATATTTAAAATTACTTTCATTTGTCTAATTATCTTTGAGCCACTGAAAATAGGAGACTATGAATAAAAAGGGTTGTGATTCAATGTGAAGTGATGCAATGTTTTTGTTAAACTTCTCGAATTAAAGTTGAAAGTCTGCACTTTGCACATCACATCTCGATTGCTTGATTTAAAATCCCTTGTGGTGATGTACAGGGTTAAAAAAGTGTAAATGTCTAGCAACTTATGAGGATACTGTAAATGTGAGACTTATGCTGTAGTAATTTTATTTTCAAACTGTATTTTCTGGTTTTACATTACTTTTCAAGGATGAGAAGTTGTTGATTTGGAAAATGCACTTGAAGTTAACTTCCCCACCTCCAATAGATAACAGCACACAGCTGCTTCCCTTAGCTTTTCAATGGGAAGCATCCACCTCCCACACAATGAAGGAGACAGTATGCAGCGGGGCTAGCCTCCACTCACTGCTGTTTGCTACATTATTTGATCAAAAATTGTAGAGAAAGAAGAAAACAATACATGAGAAAACAATAGTTTTTTTCCTTTGGAAAAGTAAACAACTCTTATGTCAACTTTCATGAACACTTCTGTCAGTGATATCATGGCTATGTTTTTTAAAAAAAATATTTTTTTCTGGCTTTAAAGTGATTAGAACATCAAACTGCTCAAAAAAATTAAAGTAACACATTGAAAACACATCAAATCTCAATGGAAAAAATACCATACTGGATATCTAGTATGGTATGAACTGGGTAATGTGTTAGAAAAGGATGGGCAGGCTTGTCCGTTTTGCTGAAATTTCTTTGCAGCAGCTCACAATAATATTCAGTATTTTGTACGGCCCTCACGCTTGTCTGACAACATTCAGACATACTTCTAATGAGACGATGGATGATGTCCTGGGGCATCTCCTCTTAGACCTTGACCGGGGCATCACTCTGATCAGAAACCTGGCGGCTTAAGTTGAACCGTCCGTGTGTCCCTCTGTAGATATGCCTTCCCTGACCATCACCAACCCACCACCAAACCAGACTTGCTGAATGATATTACAAGCAGCATAGCATTCTCCACAGCTTCTCCGCACCCTTTCATGTCTGCCACATTGTGCCAGATGTGGACCTGTCAATTCTACAATTCTGAAATTCTATGGCAAAAGGCATCTGGCCTCTACAGATCCGGGCATTGAGCACAGGGCTCACAAGAAGACGCTGGGCTCTCAGGCCACCCCCATGAAGCCTGTTTCTGATTGTTTGGTCAGAGACAACACCGGCCTTCTGGAGGTCATTTTGTAAGGCTCTGGCAGTGCTCAACCTGTTCCTCCTTGCACAAAGGGGCATATACAGGTCCTTCTGATGGGTTAAGGGCCTTCTACAACCTTTTTCCAGCTCCTTAATGTTCTTGACACTGTGCTAGGAGATACAGCAAAGCTTGTCCCATTTGAATGGATTGATGTACCCTCTGCTACGTAACCAACCAGATCAATATCTCAGATCTTTAACTGACGTTAATAATATAGTAAATATAAATAGTGTATATCAAATCAGAGAATCTTCTTAAAACAGGTTACAGTGCACTATGAGTTGCTCTTTATGCCATGGAGCTACAATAGTTTTCCATGTTACAGATGGTCCTGTGCAAAGAAGGTTTATATAATGTGTTCTGTATCTGGATATCTGGATATCTGGATATCTGCTTTCTGCGTTCTTTTCTCTTGTAACTGAGGTTGTCCCACTGGTAGATTTTGGGAAGTTATTCTTAAAACAGGAGCATATGGTGGGGGATGTTGTTGGCTGGCACGGGCTTATTTAGAGAAGCTAACTCTTTGTCAAGGACTATAATTCCCAAAGCATCAGCTCCTTTTTTCCCTCTAATACATCACTGGCAAAACCTTAAATTCCACTTTAATTTTTTCTCAATATGAATGCATATGCATATTCAACGGGATCTGTTTAGAGATAGTTAGACACAGAAATTGTGTGATATTCTAGGGGGATATTTGTACTTGACACAATTGCATACCAAATAATAATCTTGCCAAACAACCAGGTCCTGATTATTCATTTTATGAGGTCAAATGAGGTGTAGTGAGATGGCTGTTTATGTTTAGAATATAAAATTGTAAAGCCTGGAGTTGTTTTTTTCGACTCTTTGTCAGTACAGAGAGCCTCTAAACAAGCTTCGGCCTTATTCCACTTTGCATTATTGTTGTGTGGCAAAATGAATGTGAGAGCCTGTATATGGGTGGATTTCAGAACAAATGACTTTGCTCTCTGCCCTTGTGTTTGTCTTCCAGCTGATTAACCAGAAGATCAGAATGTGCATGCAGCTGTACTACTGCAGGTCATTTGTTTCCGTGCTGGAGTACCTCCTCGCCATTGGCAATTACCTCAATGAGAATGCCGGGAAGGAAAAGGCCAAGGGATTCCGTCTCTCCTCCTTAACTAAAGTACGAGTCCACCACTGTTGCCTGACCTTTGATTGAGTTGCAGCACAGAGCTAATAAGACTACTCATTGACATACACAGCAGGGCTTCTGTGCATCTTTCAGTTTTTCTCTCAGTCGCTCTGGATTACTCAGGTCTTTGAACATATTCACTCTAACAGTTGTGTGACTGTGTCGATGAATGGCTTTGCAGGAGGAATGAAACTTTGCACAAAATATCGCCTTTAGTGGCTCAGTGTCTTAGAAATGAAAAGAAGTGGAGCAGGATGAAAAGGCTTGAAAAAAATGTAGAGACTCAAATGAGAATATCAAAACTACAATTTACTGGATATCACATGTATCTGGTAAATAGATGGCAGGAGCTGGTTAGCTCAGGCCTCAGTCACACAGGCCTAAACTGTCACTGGCCGGTGACAATCCGGTAACCGCTGATCATTGGGGGAAACTGTGTACAGTATTCCTTGACTATTTGGTAGGTGGTTGCTGAAGATTGTTGGGAGTTCCTAGTGTGAAATTGATTGCAAAGAAGTGTATGGCACTGCATCAAAATTCAATTCACTTCAATTTTATTTATATAGCGCCAAATCACAACAACAGTCACAACGACAACAAGGCGCTTTATATTGTAAGGTAGACCCTACAATAATACATACAGAGAAAAAAAACCCCCCCAACAATCACATGACCCCCTATGAGCAAGCACTTTGGCGACAGTGGGAAGGAAAAACTCCCTTTTAACAGGAAGAAACCTTCAGCAGAACCAGGCTCAGGGAGGGGCGGGGCCATCTGCTGGGACCAGTGAGGGTGAGAGAAAGAAGACAGGATGAAGGACATGCTGTAGAAGAGAGCCAGAGATTAATATCAAGTGTGATTCAGCAGAGAGGTCTATTTACACATGAAAAATATATCAAAAATATCCTAATGAACCGTTTAGTCACTAGGAGATTGCTGTGGACCCCAGCAGTGGGCACTGAAGGTGATGGCTTGTATGCAAACACTCTCCAACTATTTGCCAACCAGCTGGGGAATACTTTTCCCCAGCAACTAAAAATTGCCAGGGGGGTTGCTGACCAGTGTCTAGACCTGCGTGACCGAGGCCTTATCAAATGGTAGAAACAGCCTTACTAGCTTTGCCCAAACCTGCCTCCAAAACGTAATTATTTACTTGATGGTTAGAAATATGATTCATCATGTCAGACTAGTGTACCAGCTGTCGGCTGGTAGTGGACAGTATATAAAAGGCAAATGGTAAGTATGTTCTGTTTTAAGCCTGTTTATCACTTTTCATTTTTAGCATCCCACTTCAATGGGATCACAGTGAATACATTTGCAAACCATGCTTTTGAGCACTAGCATAGGCTAATCACCTGACACTATCTTCAAAAAGAGTTACATTTGGTTCATAAAAACTAAAGTGACAACAACCAAAATGCAGCACTCAAGGCTTTAAAGCAATACTTTCCAAGCCAGCATGTGCCATGTTGGTTCCTGTATCCTATATGCACTGTCTGTGGCTTTAAACTATAAACAGACGGATTAGCGAAAGGCATCAATCTTTTCATCTAACACGGGAAAGACAGCAAATAAGTTTGTTTTCCAAAATGATTCCTCTAAGGTTGATTAAACCGATCAATGCACAGCTTTTGTCTAGGGTTTGCGACACTGTCTTTGTGTTTTTTTAAATTTAGTTTGAATCACTCTTTTGTGTTTATGTCTCTCTGCTGGGAATGTTTAAGGGGCAATGCTCTTGGCACAGAAGTAAAACGTCCTCTGCTCCATTTAATGAAGCCGAGGCCTTGTGTTGCCTCAGAGGTGTTTCCAGGTCTAATTGAGAAAAGTAAACTGTTGCTGTTTCAGACAGACTCTCTTCAAATTAATGGCTGACTGCCTCCAAGAAAAATGCATCGAGGTTATCTCAGATCTTTTTTTGGTTCTTTTTTCTTTTACTTGTGAGCATCAATACTTTGTGCATGTCTTGTATACGCAGTCCTCAAAGGCTGGCCTTGGCCTTAAATTGGTAAACAACATAACCTAAATAGAAAAAAAATCATTGGGAGCTGCTTTCACAGGATAAGAGAGGTCGTTCTTGAATTTCAATTATGCGGCACCATCAAATGTAGCGTAGCTTAAATCCGAGAGTCATCATTACCATTTCATACCAACAGCACAATTTCAAAGTAGTCACAGATAGCTAGTAAGCCTCATTCATACTACTACTATTAAACTCCATTCAAAATAATTCCCATAAACAGAAGTGACAACCTGTTAAAACAAGTATTTCATAACAGAGTTTGAAATGGCATCGTTACACCAGGGTAAAAGATTTTATATAATTAATTCAGGCATCTGAGTACATATGTTCTATTACAAATCCCTATATCCTAGAGAATGCACAACTTTGACTTACAATGGAGATGTGCCTGGAAAAAAAAAGTGAAGCTACAGTTTGGCAAAGACCTGCAATCGGATGAATAAACACAAACAGGAATAAAGGAATAATATTTTGTGAAAATATGGACACCACACGGATATTTTAGCCACACAATTTTTGGGGGGAGCAAGACTGATATCGTGAAGTGAAAATAAGAAATAAGGTTGACAGGCAGAATTAAACTTTGTAGTTGTAGTTTTCTCTTTACAGATACACAGCCTGCCACTGTAACCACAAAGTAGCCAACTTTAACCAGCTGTGTTCCAAATTTTATTAGGGCTTGCAATATTAATTTGAATGTTGGTGCTATAAATAGCTCTGCTTGATTGTCACATGCAAGAAATGCTGCTCTGGTGTTGCTGGTGTGTTACTGTTGCTCCAAGCTTATAAAGATGTTAGTCGTATTTCCAAGACCTGCAAACATATTTCCTTCCTTCCTTTTCACATTTGCTCTAAATCCTTTGTTTACTTTACAACATTCTAAAAATGGGTGTTTTTATATCCAATGGATGACGTAGTGTCTACATATATCCATGGTTAAAGTGTAAAATAGGCTTGTCTGCATTCTTGCTATTATTGAATTTGCATGGCTTTATAAATCAGACAGAGATATTGTAATATACATGTGTCTGCCTTTGTGCTACTTTTTAACCCTGAATCAACACAGTGTTTTATACATCTGGCCCTCGGCCTTTTGGAATAATGTGATCTGGACAGACAAATAAAAGATAGGATTGCAGACATGCTTTGGGCAGAATAAACACAGGTTCTCACAGAAATATCACACCAAGTGTGAGTGATGGTGGTGGAAACACTACGTACTGGGGTTATTTCACTGTGTCCGTGACTGGGCAGCTTGCAGTTATTGATACAACTCTGCATCATATCAAAGGATAATCTGAGGCCATCTGTCCAAGAGTCAAAGTGGAGCTTTTAACAAGAATTTAAGAGATCAAAAACACACTAATAAATCCACCTAGGAATGGTTCAAAAAGAAGAAACTGAGGGTTGTGTAATTGCTTAGAAAAAAAAGCCCAGATCTGAAATCCACTGAAAAGTTGTGGGGGAATTTGAAACACCCAGTACATGCAAGATAAAACATCTCAAACATCATGCAACAGAATAAAGTCAGCATGGAGGAGTCGTCAGAAATTTCAGAATTAGATAACAAAGGCTGGTGAACAAACCTGCAAATTGCTCACAAGAAGTTATTTCTGTTAATGCTCTCCTTCTGAGGCCAAAGGGGCACCTACTTTTCCACAGAAGAATATTACATGTATTGACATTTTTGTTGAACAAATGGCTGAAAAAGCTTTTTATTTATTTATTTTTGTTCCTTGCAGTCGTGTATTATTATAACCTTGAAACAGTTTCAGATAAAAGTGGATCAAATGTATGTATAGAGACATGTTAAAACAGCCAGAAGTGTCCTTGGGAAATGACTGTAAATTCACACACACACACAAACCTCCCATGGGTGTAAACACACTTTATGCATTATCCTCCAATTCTTCATTGGACCTAGAGTAACAAAGCTGCGTGTTTGCATCAGCACACACAGGCATGGATATAAAGAACATACGTACATGTTGTCCTTTATGTTGGAATCAGTATGTTGCATGGCAAGGGGACACAGCTCTGTTCTTCCCTTTCTCAATTTGTGTTTTCTCCTTCCCTAGCTCGTCCAGCTCCGTGGGACAGACAAGAAGTTCACCTTGCTTCATGCCCTTGTGGAGCAGATTATGTTGCATGAACCGTGCTTGGCCACTTTTCCCCAGGAGTTGGCAGAATTTGAAACTGTCCCTGGAGGTATTTGCTAGACAAGATTTGATCAAACCTGAAAGAAATCTGCGTGGCACTTTTTAGTTGAGGTCTGTTAAATGAAACGTGTATTTTCTCTGTGTTTCGCTGCCCCCTTTCTTGGATAGCTTCCATCAAAGGCTTGACCGCAGAAGTAGATGGTGAGTAGATCACATTTTACTACTGTGTCACATTTTACTACTGTGTCCAAAGACTGTTAAATTTGCTGAGATTGCTGTAATACTGACCCTCCTTTTTTGTGCCAACAAAGTTATTTGTGAGGAAGTGTGATCGTAACATTTACTCCATCTTCTGTGATTGTAGCTTCAGTATACTTTGTTGAAACGCCATGATCTCATTGTCTAGGGAGTGTAAGGTCTCAATCCAATATATTGTCTATATGATGACTTACAAAAACTTGCCACAAGCCACAAATACTGCACTCCACGAGATCACACAGGAGACAGCACCTGATTTAAAGCAGCTATTTACTTCGGTGCTCAAATATCATGGACGGTAACCAAGACGTGTGTGTGTGTGTGTGTGTTTCTTTTCTTCAGTCCTGAAGAATGAACTAAAGAAAATCACTCAGTATAGAAAAATGTCCAAGAAGAAAAATATAGCAGCTCAGAATCCAAACTTCTTCAAAGACCTGAAGGTAAAGTAGAAAACATTTTGCATACATAAAGATTAAATAATCATTTAAAATATGGCTGTCAGTCATTTAAAGTTTTAGGCCACATATCGTCCAAACAAAACTAAAAACAATAAACTTTCTGTTACTGTAAAGAAGCAGAGTTCAATTCTGCAAAGAAAGCAAAGTACTCAAGTTTGCTGGCTTATTATCTTACGTTTTGTGGTTTTGCAGGGCATGGATATTGCTTTTAGCAGTAAGAAATCTGTGAATCAGATGTAAGGCTTGGGTGAAATTGATCATTTTGGACGATATGATCGATTGTTGACTTGCAATCCAAGGCTATCTGCTGCACAATATAGTCAAAAGTAAAAATGATTATGCTCCTCCTGTTTTGTTTCTTAATCTTGCAAAGCCATCCTGTAGCCCAGCTCAGATTCTTTCACGGGCTGGTTCCAGCCTACAGGTCATGTGTGTAAATGCCTCGCATGTCCCATTATCATGGCAAACTGCTTATACGTGAAATTTCAGACATAAATTGTTCTTGTCCTTCAAAATTTAGTAAACATTTAGAAAATATTTAGTAAGCCGACTGCAAACTGTTTGCAGTAACACAAACTTTGGCAACATCATAATTATTCAGCTTACCGGGGTATTTACCAAGGCTAAGGACGTAACTAAAACCACCCAATGAGGATTTTTCATATCAGGCAAACAATGCAGCTCAAAAGAAAGTCTTTTTACTTATTTAGCTTTGCTGCTGAGGTTGGAGCAGTGATGGAAGAGAAGACGCCTGCACAAATGTGTGTGTTCATCCTACAAGAAGAATGCTTTATGTGAGAAAATAATTCATTTGCATAATGTCATCAGAATGGGTTGAGAAAAGTGTGGGAGATGTTTAGGAAATCTTTTCAACAGTTCTGACTGAATCATTTCTGCAAATGGATAAAAAAAATATCTAAGTATTGCTGGGTGCTGTCAAACATTATAAGTTAGAAAAATACACAGAAAGACCCTGACGAAAACCGAGTTGTAAACTTTTGCAAACAATAACATGTTGTTAAATTTCTGTTCACTGCTCTGCTAAAGCAATGTTATTATGAATCTTTTCATTTCAATTTTCTCCCTCAGTCAATGTTTCTGGTAAAAATTACTGTTTTTTTCCTCAGGTTAAATTTATCATTCAATTAAATCAGGTAGTAACATTGTATATACATTTTAACTCCACCGTTTCCTTACAAATGTGGTTCTTCAGAAAATAAACAAAATTAAAAGATTGACCATATTTAAAAGCATTTTTAAAATCAATATAATTATTGCAATCGAAGTTATAAAGACTACGAAGACAGCAGTTTCAACTCCAGGTTGGAAACTCAAACGTGCATGGAGTGACTAGATCCTCACAAAGGAAAGCTGTTTTTCACATGAACAAATGAAACCAGTCCTTTCTCACATGTAGACCACAGCAGGAGACAGTTTGCACCAGCCATGTTCTCCCTGCTATAAATGCTCTGTTTGTTTAGAAGAGGGTGCTGCCTGAGTAAAGCGCACAAGAGGCAGTACACGGGACACTCATTCACCAGCTCTGAATCCACTTAACTAATATCTGTGCTGTTCTCACATCAGCACATGCAGAAATCACACAGGCTTTGAAGCAGAGAACTGGCAGCTTAAAGCCCCATCTGTCCATGTGGGATATTTGCACTGACATGTGCACCACATTTGGCCAGTGTCTAAAGGTTCAGGGCTGTAGTGCATTTGTGGAAATGGATTAAATATGTTTGTGTGGGACAATACAGGACACATCACTAATGCAGAGATGCAGTAAAATAAAGACCATTATGCAGTTTACAATTTTGGCCTTTAGGACTTGAAGAACATGTTTTTATTTGAATGTCACTTTCTCAGCAAACCTGGATAGTCCTCTTAAATTCGTCTGTCTCATTCTTTTTCTGTTCCACTAACTGTCAAAACTGTTGACAGTTACTAGACAGAACCGGAGCTATTTCAGCTCCGGTTCTGTCTAATCTAATCTTTGAGTTTAAGAGGGGATGGATCCATATACGTGCACATCTCATTTTGAGCCACCTGGATTTTGACCTGTAAGTCACATTCTTCCGCCATGCAAAAGTTATAAACAACTCTGGCAAAAAAAGGAAAACATATCTCTGTAAATTGCCTTCTGCACTTACCAAAGTATTTTCCCAGATTTTATTTTGCTGCATTCCTTATTTGCGGTAGTTCCCATCACATTCCACTGAAATCTGTATAACATGTTACCTTATTGAGACTTAATGTTGACAGCGAAAGGATGTGGCAGGTTAAGCTGCACTTGACCCATAATAACAGCATACTTTCTTCACAGCCAGTGAATAGAAAACAGACTTTTGTATCTTGCCATGTGCTGGAGTGCAGTCGCACATAAAGTGGGACACCTGGACACCCTAAATGTGTCTCTTTAAAGCCAGCCTCTTATGCTTTTTCTAATGCTCTGTCATTCATGCACACATATACGCGCTGTTACAATGGTAGAGCCAGTTTTTCTGTTCTCGACTTGGCTGTGACTACAGAAGTCTCACTCGTCTGCTCTTCAAATTAAGGGGCTACACTGAGGATTATCATGACATAAAGATAAATTTTTTAACTCTGACTGTAGTGAGTTCCATGAATAAAGACAAGAAAATCCACCTTTAATGAATCAACTCATCTATTTTTATATATTATGTACCTATATGCCATTGATTAACAGTACAATTATCCTTTAAAAAAAATCCAGGTAGCAGATCTTTAGTTTCCTCCTTTTATAAGCAGAATATTTCTAATTAAATGGTTAGCGTGAAGACTGACAAACTTACCAGGAGGTTCTTGTGCTTTTCCTTATATCCTAGATGGCGATTGAGAAATATAACGCAGATCTTTCGGCCCTGACGAAGACATGCGAGGAGATGAAGAAACTCTACTCTGACATACTGGTAATCCTTGAATTATTATTTCAATATCTCAGCGTCAAAGACAGATGGTTGATTATAATAAAGGTCAATCAAATGGACCAATATGGCAAGGCCATGATGATCCACTTGGTAAAATAAATCCGCTTGGCATCTTTCTTGGCCTTAAGACAACAATTCTGATGGCTAAAGATCCAAACGGGACACAAAAAGAAAAAAAGAAAAAAGACAGATGGTCCCCTGTCCCAGTAATGTCTAGATGGCCCTCTTCAGTTATTTGTCATCTCATCTTCCCCATGCTACACTGGGAGAGTACATTATTTCAAGAATCCACAAGGTTACTTTGTTTGCACCGCGTGTCCTTGAGGGCTTCCACAAGCGCATATAATGTATGTGATTTATACCTTATAACAATGATCTCAACGTCGTTTAAAACCCACCACAGCTGATTTGCTGTTTTGGAGTGTTATACCTCCTTCATTGGATAATTTTAGGAGGATTAGTGAACATTGGTTTCCTGCAGGCAGAAAGTGTGAAAGACAAGTTCATCCCGACCCTTAATGTGCAATGTCACGTTGATTTAGGATGCTCTACAAATGATGAAAAATGACGAGATGTTGGAGCACCCCTGGTGGGATTCTCATGTAGTTTTTTTTTTGAGTCATTTGTTAGACCTTAAGGGGCGTACCATAAATTTAACATAGTTTTTGAGCTTCATACTGCTTTGTGACTCTTTGTATTTTGATGACATCTCATTTATACGTATATCTGAATGTACAATACATCCATTCGTACGTGAACCTTTTATGATTTAAGGGCTCTTTTGTGTGGACTGGACTCTGGAAACGGTGATGTTCTTTAATGAGAAATGCACCTGCCTTAAAAGTTCTGGTCGCATGGTGAGATCGACCATAAAGCGAACACCTCTGTCACACATATCATCAGATTTAGTGGAAGCACTGGTCCCTGTGTATTCTTTCATCACATTGTCCATAAAAGAGAACCTTTTCTTTGCTTACTAGCCTGGTTAAATTAGGTTTTCAGAGCTCAATCCCACTTTTGACATCTTAACAGGGGCTATGTCTTTTTTTAAGGAGTCACCCACCAAAAACAATCAATACAAAAGCAGTGCCTATTTTCTCACCTTTCTCATATCTCTATGGACAATCCATCATCATAGAGTCCACTTACCCTTCCTGCTGTATTTGAGAGCTGAGATATGACAGCATGAGCTGTGAGCTTTAGGCCCGGTAGGAAATTTTGTTATACTAGAGAAACAATTAGATTCCTGTGCACTCAAAATATTTGTTCACAAGTAAACAAAGGTGCCATTCAGCATTTCTCTAAATCCTTTAAAAGAATCATCTGCATCGATTCCTTTGTGTTTGGTGTAGATTTTATAAGAAATGGAAACAAGGGATCATTTAGTGTGTTTTACATGTAATTTCTTTTAAAAGCAAAGGAGTGGTTTAACATGTTGCTGCGTCAGAGCAAGATGAGAAGACTAATACCACGTTCATGTTGTTGTATGGTAAATATGAAGCAACAGACAGCAATTTGTTGATGTAGCTTAGCACAAAGTTTGGAAACAAACAACTCGTCTGGCTGAAGCCGTTGAGTCTGGCTGATTTTGTCTGGCACAGACTCTTTGAAGCTCCAGCCAGGCAGATATTGTTTCTCCTTCATTTTCCTTCTGAGTCCTCACATTTGTCAAACAGCCGTTTTGCTGTGATCACTAACACAGTGTCTGAACAGGCTGGACAGTGAAAGCAGCACCTTTGTTGTGCAGGTTTTGAAGATACTTACAACATAAAACACCGCAATAATCCAGTATTTATAACAATGGATTGCATTTATATAGCACTTTTCTAGGCAACCAAAGCGCTTTACAATTCCACTACTCGTTCACTCTCACATTCACACACTGGTGCAGGCAAACCACAGTTGTAGCCACAGCTGCCCTGGGACAGAATGACAGCCAGTAGGGTAAAGTGTCTTGCCCAAGGACACAACAACCAGGACAGAGAGAGCTGGGGATCAAACCGGCAACCTTCCGGTTACAGATGAGCTTCTCAACCCCCTGAACCACGGTCACCCCAGTATCACCAGATCAGAGAAAATAAGTAGATGGATCTATACTTTTTCAGTTCTATGTTGTATTGTGTGAACAGTTAGCAGATGAAGGAGAGGTAGCAAATCATTTGCAGTAGTCTGACTGCAAACAGTGGTCAGTGAGTAGGCAAATATTGAAAGGCACTTGGCTTTGCCAATTGGCTGCTCCCTGTCTTTCATTATATTACATCAGGGTTAACACCTGGCAGGAATTTCTTTTTGTAATTACTGTAATAAGTTGCTGTCAACTTGATTAATATCATGTCATGTCTTTTGTATGCTCTGCTCCGTGTGTGTGAGGATGCAAATACTATCACACTTTTATATAAGAGCAAAGCGCAGTGAAGACCCTGCAGGGCAGCAGTTAGCTTAACATTACAGGGAAATCTTTTACAACCTGATACAAATACCACAATTGACACAAATGCTCTTTTTTGAGTGCCCTTTTAAAAAATCTCAATTAAAAATTCAAGATCGTAGCAATTTCCAGGGCAGCCTTCAACTCTGGTAAGAAAATATAATTTTTTCAATATTTTTTCAATATAATATTCAATATAATATAATATTCAAGTAGACTTGACTTCAAGTCTACTTGTTTCGAATTATGTATGCTCAAAGAGAGGTCACCTTTTGGAGCCTAAAGCTGTGTCCAAATTCAAAGGCTGCATCCTTCGGAGGCCCGTTTGTAGGCCGATTACGTCACAGCGACGCAACGAAGGCTGTCCAAATTCAAAGAATCCTCCACACACGGCTGACAAATGCTTCCTCCTTTACCCCAGATTTAAAGGATGGGTCGGGTGTATCCTTCGTGGCCCACCATATCCCAGAATTCATAGCGCGGCCCAGCCAATTCCAGTTTCTAACAATGGCGGCAGCTACTTAGTTTTAATATTACTCTTATTACTCTTTCTGGGTCACAAAATAAACTTACGCCAAAGTCCTGTTATATTTTAGATAGCAAGGAGCAAACAACTGAGTTTATTAAAGTCCACCAAGACAGCTGGTGACACACACCTGAAGGCTAGACCCCCCAATTTCACAGCCTCACACTTCCAGCCTTCTCGGTCTTCGGAGGACCCGGCCGTTGTGGTCTACGTGGGCCGGGTCCTCCGAAGACCGAAAAGGCTGGAAGTACGAGGTGGCCAAAGAATTTGGACACAGCTTAAGATTACTAAGAAGCTGCTATGTGTTCTGCTCAGTTCAGGGCTGTAGTAGTAGTAAGTCAGTTCTTCTTGTCCAAATCTCACCCATGGCTACAAGAAGCTGGCTATTCAAGATGGCCCAACATGTAAAGTAGGTAATTTACCTTTTTGAAGGTCAGTGGCCTAAAATAGTAGTTACCTGAACTGGAATTGATGAAAACACAATTTAAAAATTTAAATTCTATCTACTTTGTACCAAATTAACAACTCCAGGTGGACAAACATACTGAATTGGGGGGAAGGAATAGCGGAGTAGCACGAATACATTATTTTATTGATGATTTTTTTAAATGTTTATTTGTTTCATTTTGTTTCATCACGTTTGGAAACCAATGGTTTCAAGTTAAGCATGTTGCTGCTTTGCTTCAATGTCATCACAGTGAGGAATTCAGCTTTTGAATTTAACAATGGGAAAGAATGAGCCAATATCCACAGATCAGGTTACATAAAACCTGTAAAATGTTTTGATTTGATTGTGCTTATGTGGAGGAAAAAAACTGTTTCAATCAATCCAGCTGTCTAAACAAGCCATGTATCTTTTTTGTAAGCTGCACGAACATGGATGACTGAAAAATCAATCTCCGGTGTGTCTCTGCCTTAAGAGAGCTAACTGTTGATGCTCACACCAGCTGCAGTTGATTTGCTCTCACAGCCTCTAGTTTGTAAAGGCTCTGGTCATGACCACTTAATCAATGTGATAAAGGTCCAATGGATTTTTCCAGTTAATGTAATTCCACAACGAAGTTTAAAAACCAATAAGCCAGTTTTTCCACAGAGGCGTGCCGCTTCCTGTCAGGGAGGTTAGCGTGTAATTTGGGCAGGTAAGCAGGTCAATGGAAGGCAAGACTTCATGTGGTAGATATGCTTTCAGTGGAGCAGACAGTGTAGCTCGATCAAAAGTGCAAAAAGTTGACTAAACTTGTGAAGAATGCAAAATGCATATCATGCATTTCTAATTTATACATAAGCTCATGTAGAAATTGAGAAACACCTCTTACATACTGATGTAACCCCAGCTGCAGCTTTTCATTTAATGTGCAGATATTAGAATCATATCAGTATCATCTAAACCTCAGCAAGAAAGCAAATAAGCATATTTTTCTAAATGAGGAACATTTTAAATGAACATCCTTGAACAATAAATCCTAATTTACCTCAATATTATCCTAATCCAATATTATACCTTATTCTTAACATAAATCACTCTTCCACTATTATTAAAAATGTTCTGGTGGTGAATCGGCTGTGGCCTTTTTAAAGTTTAACTAGCTGACCTTTAACTGCATTGTCCCCTTCAGGCAGGGAGTTATATTTTAATCATCAGGCAGTGCTGCTTAAATGTAGCATCATCTCTAAATGTTTGATCAAAGTTTTGGAAGCTTGTTGTTAAGAATAAGCTACATCTGTCAATCCATTTATCCACCTGTCCGTCCAACTCTCCAATTTAGGGTGAGAGGTGAAGTACACCCTCAAAAGCTTGCTACTTTATTGCAGATAAATAAACTCTTCCTCATATGCTGTCGTTTTCCCTGGACTTTCAAAATTCAATTCAATTTAGTTATATTTATACAGTGCCAAATCACAACATCAGTCGCCTCAAGACAGCAATCATATAACCCCCTATGAGCAAGCAATATGGCAACAGTGGGAAGGAAAAGCTCCCTTTTAACAGGAAAAAACCTTCAGCAGAACCAGGCTCAGGGAGGGGCG